AAAAGAAAACAATTGCATCATTTCTCTTTCTATACATCGAACACCATTAGTTTCCATTCTTTCAGCATGAAGATTGTTGATTTCATTTTTCTTCATGAAGTAATTTTTTTGCCAGCTCTGTACTGTTTACATGAAAGCTTTTTTTCCCCTGTCTCAGCTGGCTGGGCAGAAAAAAATGTAAGGTTAAACAAAAGAAAATCAAAAGCATTTTTACTCGATATAGTTGGGAGAAGGAATTTCGGTGTAACCCTTTGCTTCTCTCTAAGTTGAATAATAAAAAAAATCAGTTTATCTTCTTAAAAGTTACACGAAAATGTATTACTTTATTGTTTTAAATCAGCTGTCCTCTGTTTTTGTTCTCTGGTAATGTACCATTTTGCTGTTCATTGACTCACTTATTTCTTGCTTAACACTGTTACATATTATGGGAATTTTTTGATCTCCTTCAAAGTCTTTAAAAGCTAATGCCTCTACTGGATGGTTGTCTTTACCATTATTCATGATCATCTTTATGCAATGGAGCTGAGCCTGTCAGGAAGCCATGAGAGCTACCTTGCAAAGATTGTTTTATAACCAGACTGAACACTAGTAGGGGCTCCAAAAGAGGTGAGAGTGGGGGCTAAATACTTCGTTTTGGTTTTAAAGCTATTTTTCCTTGCTGAGTTGAATTTCATCTTGCATGCTTTTGTATTTTTTTTAAAGATTCACTAGAATTCTTTGGAAGAGGGACATCTTAGGAGGCATAATTTAAAGACAATAATTCCCTTCTCCTGAGCCTCCTTCCTGAATTTACACTTTGTTTACTAATTTGAATCCTCACTTCATTAAGCCAGTTTCTAAAAGAGTAGAACTCTTCATGGGATCCAAACTTAGCATTACACCTGTGTGCTTTTCTGTTACTCACATTTCATCCAGATGCTTCCTTCGTACTGAAAAAATACAAAGGAATCTTTGTATTCCTATTGTTGAGAGACACTGTAGATTCCACATGCACTAAGAAAGGTTTTGAGAGATTTAGAAAATAGAATGCAGTGTTTGGGATTTGAGATTCTGGAATCAGAATTGCACTAACAAACTTTGTAGTCATACTTAGTCTCTTTTCGTAACTGCTGACACTAGTAGTCCACAAGAATAATTCCTGCTGTTTAGTTGGAGTGGGATTTTAAGATTAATTTAGGACAAAGGTGAGTATCAGGAGAGAGACATTACAGTAATTTTTATTTTGCTGCCTTTTTTTTTTTTTTCATTAATTTAGCAGGGTTTCCACTGAGATGCAAACTATTTACCAAACAGTTGCAAAATAAATCTCCGGGTGAGACATGGCTGAAACTCTATATGTTTCCATTCACATCAGTGAGGTGTATGGTGTGCTGGCCATCTGTTATAAAACCTGAATAGGATCTGAAATCCTTACACCGAAGACCTGATTTTTTTAGGCCATTGCTTTTATGAAGGTGTGCCATAAAACTGGCCATGTGCTGGCAACCTGTGCAACTGGACCCCTTTAAATCTCTGTAAAAGCGATGACATTCCAAGCACCTCAGCATCTCTTAAAATTAAAACAGCTAATTGCATTAAAGTCTGTGTGTTGAAGAGATTATACTCTTGCTTAGGGTTTGTTTTCCCCCTCCCCATCTGCAAGATCCCTGATGGGGTCCACATCTGTGAGAGCAACGGCGCGCACGACAGACTGCCTCACGATTGGCAAGCCAACTGGAAGGAACGCTGAGACCCACAAGGATTGCTGGACCCGCAGGGCTCTCAGCTTGTGAGAACAGTGAGCTAATTAAAGTCTAAATAAACGAAATCTCTTTCTAGCTGAAGTAAAGATAAATAAATAAATGCCTGTGTGTTGTTGGATAGGACTGAATAAAGACAAAAATATTTGTATTGTGTTTCTCCGGTAACATCTCTTTAATTGTGAAAGGGGCGCTGCCAGCAGACTTGGTGAATATGTGCAAATGTCCAGTTCCTAATTTATTTTCAATCTGTTGTTTTATTAAGAGGGGTTCAGCAAAGGTAATGAAGAGTATGTTTTTATATATTTTTCAATCATTATTTAAAGTTTTAAAAGTCTCAGTGTGTATTTTTAGCACATCTTCCTAGCTACTGCTTCCTTGTCACTGTCAAGTTCTGCCTCTGCCTCCGTGCCAATGCTTCGCAGGCTGATGTCACCAAAGGGGCTGTATGCTTTGTTTGCAGACCAGTGATATGTTATATGCTACAAATGCATTATTTCAGTTCTTCTGTTAACAAATAATATTTTAACCTTCCCATCTTTAACAGTGCCAATAAGAAAAGCAGTAAAGCCACTTAAAACATCAGTATGAAGTAAATTTTTTCCTTTAAATTTTCTGTGTGCCACTTCTTTTTTTCAGTCTATTAGACTAAACCTAGGTTAAATACATATTTAAGGAGTTTGCCCAAGACATATTTAGGAGTCAATTTAATTTCAATTATGTGTAGACCATTAAGACTATTTGTATTTAAATTGAAGCACTTGCTAAAATGCTTTGTTTAAATGGGTCTTTGAAGATACCTAGTTTTAGAAGGACTGAGCAATTGCATTTCTCAGCTAAGCCTTGTTTTGTGGTCCTTGAAAAATTCAGTCCTCAAATAGAAATTTGAATGTCTCTAGGCACCCATTCTGAGAAGATGTGGCCGGTGAGTTAGGTCTTGATTTTCACATCTCCCATTATCACAGATGAGAGCAGTGACTGCAAGCCTGTAAAGAAGGAATCAGGATGCTAAAGGAAGCTGCAGTGCTGTGCAGTCAGCAGCCTTGACTTAACATCTACTTAAAAGTATAATCTCACTATTTAAAGTGCAAAAAATGAAAAAAAAAAAAAAAAGCAGCTGTTAAACAATCTGTTGAAAATCTAGCATTAACCTTTTTGTGATTGTACTCCTTAAATGTTGTAATGATTCATTCCTGATCATAGAAGTAATAAATATTAAACATATTTAAAATGTAGTTCCTTTCAGAAAATACTGTGGAGTGGGAAAATAAGTATGAAATTGGATGTCTGTTCTAGGAAAACAAGCAAACATAGCAGAATGAGTAGAGAGAACATGTTTTTCTGCTTATTTTACGAGCAGGACTGTAAAGGAAACAATTCTCTCATTACACGTGTATAAAAATAGGCTTTGAGACTGACTTCTCCAGGCATGAGAACTCCTAGCATTTTCCCGTTACCTTGATCCACATCTGCTCATTTGTTCAAAAATGAACCAGAGGTAAGTTTTTACTGGGATGTCACGCAGAGTTTAGTACAGGAATAGAACATATATAAACACATCCTGACCACGAAACAAGAGCAGCAATATCTTAGCAAACTGCATAAAATCACTCAGTCCTGACTTCTGTTGTCAAGAGGTAACAAAAACAGTCCAAAAGTTGATTAATGCATTCTTCAGTTCTGGTCAAAACTCAGAAGAAATACTTGCCTGGATGAAAACAGGGAGCTGGGGTTGATTAAAGGAAAAAAGGGCAAAGAATCTCATGGTAGATGGGATGTGCAAGCTCTCAGGAATATTTTAGTGGAAAACAGGCCAAGTTCAGACTTTATCTAAGTCATCTGACCTTTGTTGTGTGAGAAATTAAAAGTTATTCTGCTCAAATTAACTCAGCATACGGGCCAGATTTAAAGTCTTCTGACTGTGTTTTCCCTGGCTTGGTACTCAGCAAATATCCAAACTGCTGCAACTTTAGTTACTCTTGCTCCAGTCATCAGCTGTGTTCTGCAGTGTCAGACAAAAGAAATAATTCCAAAGTAGTTGTATTTAATTTGTAAAGTGCCTTGACACAATGATTGTGGGCATCTGAAAAGCTTGTAAACACTGATAAGGAAGTGATAGTGTTAGTTACATGAAGTACAGCCTTCAATCTATGTAATATATAGACTGAAGAAGATAATGAAATACTGCAGCACTTTCAGCATGTTAATGATGTGAGCCCAAGAAAGTTTTAGTTTTGCAAATCCTCTGAATATTTTTCACTTAAGTTGTAATAGGAGGACTTGAGGAAATGCTTAGTTTGGCTTTAAGTTTGAAGGGCCACCATTACATTTGTAGCTTCTGGCTTCCTCTGGAGATAGGAGAATCACGAAGATGCATTTGTATAATTGTTATGCACCACAGCATGAAAGTTTTGGGTGAAATCCTGTCCATCTCAAATGTCTGTGGAGCTTCATCCATCTAGATGCATGATGAAGCAGTTTTCCTTAAGTCCTTAGGTAACTGATAGGTGCTTTGGAAGGCTTCCCTGGTGAGATTCTGCCTCCTACACTTCTGGCATCCAAGGTGGGTGGCTACAAGTTTCATTTGAGGGGCCACAGAGACACTGCCCTCCCCCCATTAGCTGTACAGACACGCTCAGACAGTTGCAGGACAAGTACCTGAAATGGAGAACAAGAACAGAGTTGTTGCCTCAGCTGAGCTACCCCCAGTCAAATGCTCCTGTGAAACAACAACCATTCTTCACCCTGACATTTTATTTTGTTCATACACTGCCATAATTATTTCTCCCTTTTAGAACAAAACTGGGGAGGATTTCAACAGAGGGAGGTTTCTGAAATTGAGGAATTCTGCCCATAACACAGCCAACTAAAGACTTAGGTTCCTCTAGTGCCTGCTGAGTTAATAGGGTCTCTAAGAACACGGTCTCTGGCCTGCAGAGGGCATAAGGCTCTTCGGTTTTCCCTGCCAAAATGTGTGTGGAATAGCGAGAAGCTTTTGGAGTATACATCAAAGTATTTTTGCAGGCACATTGCTGCACTTGGTGGATCAAGATCTCCAGTAATGTGAGGTTACCAAAAGTGTAATTTCAATGGAAGAAATTGGACTCTTCCCAAGCATCCACGTATCCATCCACCAAAGTAAATAGATACTTTACATAGGGAACACTGAAGCCTCTCCAGGACATGTGTCCAGCAGGAACGTGCTGTGGGTACTCGTGCTTCTTAAAAATCATCTGTTTTCATTTGTGTCTCCATTTCCAGAGCTCCCAACACAGTGGCTCCTCTACCTCATTAGCATCCACCAAAGTTTGCAGCTCTATGGATGAAAATGATGGTCCTGCAGAAGGTAACATTTGGAGCTGACATTTCAAAGCAGTCAGTGTAGTGATAACAGCAGCTGTGTAGGAAATGAGTCATTCTTCCTGCCAGAGAAGGTGGGAGCATTGCAGGCTGGATAATTTTCTGTGAGGAAGCTCCTCAGCCTTAGCAAACCAGTTAGGTTCACTCTGGATCAGAGTTGATCTGAACATCACTCTTCAGAGGTATTTTTATTGCGGAATGCAATAGGTTCCACAATATTGGTTTTATTTCTGCAAGCAACACAGTGCTGACTGGCTTATTTCAATATTTTGCTCTCATCTGCCATGGTACTAAAGAACACACTGCAGTCTTGGGTCTTTACTCAGAAATGGATAGTTTTACTCCCTGCTAGGGCTTTGAGCAAGTTGGCTGAGGGGCAAGGTCTGCTCATACACACGCACATCTGTGTACGTGTGTGTGTGTGTGTGTATCTGTGTTCTTGTTGGAGAACAACTCTTTGTGCTGTCTGTGAATTCAGACAAACCCCAGCCTCCTTGTGTCCTAGCATTCCTAGCATTCACTTTTAATACTAAACTGGAACAAAGGACACAGTAATACACAGAGTTAAATGCACTGTCTTAAAGAGTATAAACACAAATCTTGCTATTTTTTTTCACATTACAATATTTATATCGTGGTTTGTATCAGCTGCAGTTTACAGTCAGCTTTTAGAGGCATGTTAGGTATTTGTAACACTATTTCAAATACTTTTAAAAATAATAGTACAGGAATGAGCACTAAAACACATTAAACTACAAGCTTCTCGTATGCTTAGACACTGTGTAATGCAATTTTACCTAAACATCTGGTACCCAGGTTGCATGCGAGGTAGTATTATTGAGAACATTTGTTTAAAAACTAAATATTTGATATTGGGGGATGGGGAGAACTAGCACTTAGCACATGAGGAGTTTTATGGATGTCTCAGTTTACAGGATGTAATAAAATAAGTGCTTGAGTGTTGGACTTCTTTGGTACATATATTTAATCATGCTGTGTCAAGGAGTTCCAGCCCTTTTTGGAGGCTGGTCTGCGCTTGTGCAGATCACAGAGGCCTTTTCGTAATTAAAAAAATACAATTTTGGTTTTGTCTTGGGGGCATATTGCAATGGCAACTATATACCACTCAAATGGTGGTATGTTTGAGCCCCCAGAAGTCTTATTTTTCATTATTGTATCTGCATGAAACCTGTTGAGTATATACAATGTCAGCAGCATGGTTTCACTGTACAGTAAGTGAGATACTGACTGAATGGTTTCCAGGCTCCTAAACCATGGACTTAAAATGCATGTTATGTGCAACATCTGTGTTTCCTTCACTAACAATAAAAATGTACTAATGATTCTTTCAGAAGTGTTGGAGGAAGGTTTCCAGGTTCCAGCATCGATAGCAGAGCGATATAAAGTTGGAAGGACTATAGGAGACGGAAATTTTGCTATTGTGAAGGAGTGTATAGAAAGGTGAGGAGGATAATATGCTTATTACTGTAAAAAATAATTATTAATGTCATGCTTTTTCCAGACTGTATATTTATTTGTAGAATACAGAAATGTAAAAAGGTAATGTCCCAATGCCAGATGGAAAAACTAATGTCTTCTCAAATTAAAAAAAGAGCAAGTTCAAGGGGCAATCTATGGATTTAATTCTTTGTGGGATTTATATGGTTTTTTTCTGCTACACTTCACATGACTTTACCAGTTCCTTGTGTTAAATCTCTCTTGTTGCACTGAAATAACATCTTTTCTTGCAGTATGTTCTTGTAAGCCTCCTTTTACATTAGACCAGTGGAACATTTCACATACAGCAGCACTCTGTAAAAATGTCACGAAGTTCTCTGTTTGGGGTGTAGTGGCAATGGTCAGCACAAAGAGGTAATTTTGGACCAAGCTATTCTGCCATCTGACACTGAGGTGTAGTCTCTTCCATATTTATTTTTAAATGAATGGACATCTAACTCCTGCATGTCTGCTTTGTGCCATTATATTTGCTCCTTCCAACTTTATGACCCTCACTGCAGACACCAAAATCTAACTTCTTCAGTGACCTATACTGCTAAGAGGTGAAAACAGTCTTTGATTTTAGCCATCTACTCCAGATTAGAGAAGTCACAAGTCACCTCAATTGTCAGTGTTGCTGAAAATGTCCAGGTTGACTAGATCATTTGTCTGTTTCTAAATCTGTTCAGGCTTGAACCTGCTCTACCCAACCTTAAGAGTGTAAAAAATAGGGAACCAAGTAGGAATGCTCTAAGTAGAACTGTGGTTGCCTTTTAGTGGTATTGTTAAAAACAGGAGACTATGGGATATAAAAGCAGAAGATATTTCACCTGTATGTGAAACAACTGTAGGATTGCTCATGTTAGATAGTAGCAGTGCAGACAAACAAAAAGCTGCCAGAGCTGGAGGTGTCCAAAAGAGAGAACAATAGAGACATCAAGGTTTGAGAATGATATTTCATCAGGTAAGTTTTCTATCCCCTATTATCATATCCTGGAGAGGAGACTCTTATAGAGGACTATAACTTCACCTTTGGGCTCAAAGAAAAAACTGTTCTTTAGTCTGTAAGAATATGATATAAACCCTGGAGAGTGAGATTAAATCTCCTTACAGACAATGATAAATTAGCTTGGCTGGTTTTAAACTAGTCTCCTTGGAAAAATACAGGTCCACCTCTGCATCCAGAAGTGCAGCTTGGAGGTCATGAAGACAGCTGTTGGGGAAAAGGGTGAGAGTGGATTTCATATCAGCTGACAGTGTGCTTGTGGGACTTGGCCAAAGTTCTGGTAAGGCCTCGAGTGCTCTGCCAGAGTGAGTTTTTGGTGGAGCTGGTCATCCACAGGGCAGTAGCTGTTCAGATCAAACTTCAGGGTCTGAGCACTGAACTGTATGGAAACCTAAAGGAAGCAAAGCAAAACAGTATGTAAGAAGGGAAGCACTGTAAAACCCTATGGAGGGACATCACTAATGAAAGAAATAGGTGAAAACACCCATTTTCACCCAAACTCTCTTTCTAAGAAAAGAGAATAAGTCAGCTTAAGGTAGAGTGAATCGTGACTAGGAAAAGCAGATTAGAAGCTAAAATAAAGAGAAGTTGTGGTTTTAATAAACTCATTCAGCTGAAAATGCAATTTGTGTTGAGAGACAGTACAAATGTGCTAGTGTGCATATCACAATTATTTCCCAAACGGAGAGAAAATACATGAACACAATTAAATGTAGGTCCCATCACACCTAAAAATAATGCTGATTACAATATCCTGGAGACCTTGAATGAAAACTATTTCCTGTCCTCTTGTCTATCCCACTGGTCCCAGAAGTATCCAGTAACATGGTGTGTCTAATGTACTCATATAGCATTTTTACCCAGGTATTTCCAGATATATAGTCTTGTGGTCTCTGAGCTATACCATTCCATAGATCCCATTTCTACCAGAGAGCTACTGCTTTGGGAGATCTTGAAAATTGAAATGCAATTGTTGAATGGAATTGTTTCTGTTAGTTTATACTTCTAAAGCAGTATATCCTTGCCATCACAGGTGTGGAAGGAGAAATTAAAGACTCGGAGGGTAAATTATACCAGTACCTGTGAAACTCCTTCAAAAATATTCTTTTCATTCTTTTTTTAAGCCTCTTTAACCACCTCACTTCAAAGTCCAATATGTCCATCATTTGCAGAGCCAGAATTAATGGGGTGAGACTTGGGACAGAGAACTTTTCCATTTCCTTGTGAAGTACAATTCCTGTGTTCACTGGACTTCAAAGGAATAGCACCATAAGGTGTTAAACAAGTAGGAATGGGTCTTGCTACACAAATTCACTGGTCACATGCATACTCCTCCATAACTGTGAGATCAGTCTGTGAGCACTGGTTAATAGAGGTTTGTGAGCACTTCAATACATTGACAGGAGTTTTCCTCTGACAATGAACAATCCAAATAGAAACCAAAAACCATCTCCAAAATTTTCACATGTGGACTTCTAAATCCCATTTTGAGCATCTGTGAATGTGCAGGCACACACTCTTAAGTACATTTAATGCATGCAAAAATACAACAAAGATAGATTTTTGTCTCCCATGCAGTCTGAATCTCTGTGAAGTTTGCAAAAATTTAAAGAGCCAGGGAACATGGCACCAAGCCCTGTTATGAGCTAGAGGTCTAACTCTGTGGTAGTGCAGTGGGTCCAGACTCCTGTCCAGCCATAGCATGTTGCCTTCTTTTTGTGGTCCCTTTTTATTGTTTAGTTGAGAGGTGAGATGCTTGCTTCATGGTGACTTTCTGACATAGCCATGCATATTTTTTGTTGGTGTGTAAGTTGCAGCGCTGCTGACAGGCCGTGGTTCTGCAGCTTTTCAGGGGAAAGGATTTACATTATCTTAGCTTTAATTTTCTTTTTACCAAAACAAAGAGCAGTCAGAGTTGTCATCTGCTTGTTACATATCTGCTCCATCGTATGCACAATTTGTCCTGCGGTGTTTTTATATGTGTTCATTTTTAACTTTCAGATTCTTTCAAATGCTGACATTTCCTCACTAGCTCAGATTTCCCAGTGTCTTGGAGTACATGGAGTCTCCCATGGCCAACAAAAACCATCAATTTCCTTTCTCATGACAGAAAGGAAGCATTCCTAGGGCAACCAAGCAGCTTGAAAGAGACTGCTATTGAAAGAGGCTATATTTTGTCTGAGTTTTAACCCCAGATATCTTAATTTCTAATATTTCTTGTTCAACCTCCTCCTTCTAGTCCCAAAAATAGTGTCCAAATCTCTTCTTGTTCCCTCACTGAGCTTGGACTGTAGCCACTGAAAAGCAGCACTGGAAGGGGGCGCCCCACATGGAGTGCAGCCCATTTTGGGGGGCTGTAGCACTAAACCCCTGTGTGGAGGAGTACAGATAGGAGACGTTTTTAATTTTTATTTGTGTAAATCTTGAACAGGTATGCTGTAATTTTCCCACCAATTCATAAACTTTCTTATCTTGTGTGATTTCTTTTAATTGATGTCCTAATAGAGGCAGTTTTAGCTCTTTGCCAGGGAACATAAACAGAATTAATATTTTGGTGGTATTTTTCCTTTTTACTGAATTACCCATTTTTTCCTTAAATTAAAAATTGGTGGTACATCATGGCCAGAGGAGTTCCCCATGTTTTAATATGGTAATGAAAATGCCCAGTTGTTTTCCAGATACAGTGCTTTCAGTGTATTAACTCACTTTGCATGTCCTGTTTGACAGACTGAGCACACTTCTAGACACATTAATGTCTCTGTTGAACATACTCTGTATCAGTTTAATGTATCAGTTTAACTACTGTCTTTTGTGAAATGAAAAATGAAAAAATGACCCTGTATTCTTGAAAGGTTATTTTTTTTCTTAATTTTTAACCAAACATGCCTAAAGACAATGAAATAGACATTTGTAACCTGTTTAGGTTAGTATTACAAAATGAAAATATTTCAGTAAGATCTTTTTCTTAAATTATCCTTTTCCTATTTAATCTTATAGTGAAACTGGGACTTGTAAGCAGAGCTTATTGTTTTCATTCTTACAGCTATCTTTTGGTTTTGTAACTTAATTAAGAAATGGAAGTTGATACTGTTAACTTGTGTACAAGCTAATTTGTCTATGTTAGTATTCTAGAAAATAGATAATGACATACATGTAGTAGGGATAAATACTATAAGGATTCAAAACAACACAGTAGTTAAAAGGAGATGTGTTCTCATCCTGAACTAATTTCTCTCACTGTCTCCAGAAACTTCCACATTCTGCCTAAAAGCCAACATATTTAACTCTGCTAAATATCCTATAATTATTGAATGCATAAAATTTTTTCCAAGGACTGACCTTTTTATCATAGCAGTTGTGACTGCAGATATGCAAACAAATGACTTTTCATTTTAAGTAAAAAGTAAGTATATTCCATGGGATTTATTTTTTGTAGGATAGAAAATAAAACTTCTTTGTTTTGAAAATATTTGAACCTGTGAACACTGCATGTCATTTTTAAATAAAAATGACAAAGTAATAACAATTTTCATTACAAAATGGAAGAAAAAGTCAAGCAGGTTTTTTTTTTTTTAATTTTGAAAACACTGAAATGCTTTCATTTTAAAACAAAAAATCATATGTCTTTTTCTCAGGCATGCATATTTAATAACTTTGGCTCAATTTCACAACATTAGTCAAATCTGAGTTTTGTTTCTTATAAAAGAAAAAAGAATATTCTACTAGAGCTCTTCACTGCACTTATTATACTCATATAACAAATATAAACTCAACTGAGGAAAAATATTCAATGTGATTAAACTTGCTTTTTTTTTCTCTTTCCTCAGATCAACTGGTAGAGAATATGCTCTGAAAATAATCAAGAAAAGTAAATGTAGAGGAAAAGTAAGTAGAAAAAAATATGAGACCCAAAGATTTTTTTTTTCCAGGAAATGTTTTGTGAGAGATCATTTTGAGAAGCTGTTGGTATTTGTGTCCTTCCTGACAAGTGTTAGAATCTCTTTGGTTGAAGTCTTTGCCTGCCCTCAGGAGACTCTTGGAGTTTCAGGAGAAAAGGGAGTTATGTGCTGTTCTAGGCCTGTGTGATGATTCTCCAGTTGGTTGTGCCTGACTCCTTTCTGTTTATCCATGTAATTATGTCCTCTAATCTTCATAATTCCAGGTGTTATAGAAAGTAGAAAATAATACAAATAATTATAACGACACTGGTCACTGTGTGTAAGGCATAGGTTAATTAAATTGATATCAATATTGCACCAAATGACTGTTAGCTCTTAAAATCAGTAACAAAATTCTGTGAGAAGATGCTATCATGTTGTTAAATCTAAAGATTCTGCATCAGAGAAAATTTTAAAAGCTTTTATTTTTCTCTGCACCAGAAACACATCTTTTCTTCCATTTCTTTTTCTGTGTTCCACTGTCTCTTCTTTCAGTTACCACATTGATGTTTCTAAACATGTTCCTTCTCTGTTGCTGCAGGCAACCTCTATTAGTTTTTTCAAAAACCCCAGATAATCTGTGCAGCTCCCAATTCTCTCTGCTTTTTCTGCTATGAATTTTTTTCCCACTAACCCATATTCATAGAAGATTTTTTTGTGTGTCAGGAGCACATGATCCAGAATGAGGTATCTATTTTAAGACGAGTCAAGCATCCCAATATTGTACTTCTGATTGAGGAGATGGACATGCCAACTGAGTTGTACCTTGTCATGGAACTTGTAAAGGTGAGTGTTTTGGAGTCAAGCTGCTTATTGTATCAACCATATTGAAAAATTCCATTCCTACTAAGGCTTACTAAAAAACATGGGATCACAGAATAATGTAGAGTGGAAGAAATCTCTGAAAGCTGTCTAGCATCCTGCTGAAAGATATGTAATCCACTGTCAGATTTTTTTTTATTAGCTTTCAAATATTTCAAATATTTGTCTAACTTCTTGTAAGCCACATTTGGAAGTGTTCTGTTGACAGTACTTTGTGTACCACCAGTTTGGTTTGCTTCCTCAAAAGAAAACTCGTTAAAAATTTATAATCTGCCTTGAGTTGAAAATATACCCAGTCCAAATAGCCATAAATACCAGCCTTCAAAATACAAAAAGGTGAAAGGTAAAGTTTAAACATTAAATCTAAACAATATTAAATGTGTTTTTTTCTCTATTGATTTATATTAACACAGTGTCAGACTTGCCTCCTCGATAGCAATCTAAATTTAAGCTGAAGGAAGGGGAACATGAAAAAGAAAAGCCTGCTTTTTCAAGCGTGGTTCTATTCTAAAATGTAAATTTGCGAATGCAGTAATTTATATTTTGGACCCTATTTCTTCACAGTGACTTAGAGAAAGCACTTTTTGGCAAACAGTGTCGTTGATCTGCTTTGCTCTGGTTGTAGGTGGAGGTTAGAAGGTGTAGGTGCTTCACTGAGATATTAAATAGGGCAGTCTCAGGTCCAGGTGTTTCTTAAATACCCTTTCAGTCTCTGGTCTGGGATACAAGAGCAAGTAGAATGAGAAGGTTTTTTGGTTTGTTCCATTATCCCCCATGCTGTGTGGCAGCAGTAATGATACCAGCCATACTCCCAGTCCAAACCTGGAAGGCTCTGTGTGCCTCATGGGTGGATGCCCACCGATTTTCCCTTGTCCTCATGGCAGTCTGGGAAAGAAAGTCTTGTCATCCATAAGAAGCTCAGGCCATGCCCCACATCTTAGGAGATGGCAACATTGTCCTCATAGGTCTGTGCCTGACAGATGTCCTATTTGGCTTGATAGTGCTGTGGGCTGATGGTCCCCCTAACTGCACTGTCCACCACCTCCAAGCTCTGAGGAAGCACACTAGGAAGTGCTGGTAGTAAGGGGCTGACATATTTTCTCTGATGAAAGAGTTAAATCCTAAGACAAAAGAAAAATACTGGTACTCTTTCATGCCATGAATCCCTTTGTGTAAGCAGTCCCAGAATAATTTCCCCACTCCCTTGACAATCTCAGCCCTCTCTCACTCTTAGGCATGCAATGTGAAATAGCACAGCTTGAGATCAGATACCATTAGCCATCTAGTACTATTTTAATCACAATTACTGCTTTATTCTCTTCTCTTCTAAGTGAGCTCACTATGAAATCCATGCTACTGTCAGTTTTCCTTAGTGTCTGCAAGAGCTTGTTCAAAGATACCTCAGTCCCCTTGCACAGCACCGTAATCACACGTAGCTACAGCTTTTAGCCTGCATTGACAAATCCTTCATCTTGGCCCCATGAGGTGTGCTAAGAACTAAAAGCTGTGCCTTGTCTAACCTGCCAAGATTTAAGCACAGAGCTGGTTTTATGGGTGAAACCTGCTGTGCTATTCATGACTGAAAAATGTGTAAACTGTAGTGTCCAATGGATTTTTAATTGAAGTCCTACTCAGCTAAATGAGGGAGGAGGGGACCAAAAACTCTTAGAAAATAATTTAGAAAATGAGCCTTAAAGATGTATATTAAAAAAACATACATTGTATTAACTTTCTGGAGAAATCTGTTTTTTTGTGTTCTTTCTTCTTTACTCTTAAAGACTGATGCACATATTCTTTTAGCTGTATTATGGAAGGGCTCTATAGGAATCTGTACTTCTCATATCCTAGAAAGCACTGTTCTAATAGTCTTTACTTTTATGTAGAATAATATGAGAGAAATGAGAAATGAGAATATGAGAGAAATGAGAAATATGAGAAATAATATGAGAAATGTAGAAGAAATAACCTTATTCGGGGAAGCCAGCTTTGTTTCTCTGATACAAACATCTATTCCTTAATATATAGTTGGAAGAAAAGCCTTGTTGCACTCTCTGGGTACTAGGGAAGGCATTTCTGGAAGGACATTAATTGTTAATTCACCAATTGCTGACTGTTACCATTTCATAGTGTGCACTGTTAGAATTGATTAACCATCTGTTATTGACTGACTTTTGAAGACCTGGCTTTAAATCGGACTCACAGACAGGAAAGAGAGGCAAGGAGGAAAAGCTTGATAGTGCGGAGCCCGGTTTCAGTTAATACCACCCTACATTAATTGGCAGTAACATGTTTGACATAAGTGACTGCTGCAAATCCCGCCCTCACCTCATGGCAGATAGGCCATTCATTGCTTTGTAAAGTGTAAGAAAAAGCACTTCATAAATACAAATATAAACACATTGCAAGTGGTGCTTGTAAAAGGAAGCAAAGACCTGGTTTCTGGCACATTGCCTTTTTACACAGCGAAACAAAATTGTTATTCAAACCTAACAGGGGTTTGGCCAATTTAAGAAGCAAGATTTATTGCTGAGTTTCCTTTACTGCTCCAGGATATGATTTCACTTTTGCAGAAGAAAAAGAGAGATCATATAATTTACATAACAAGGTAATAAATAAATAATTGGTTACTGTAGTTCCAAGTACACCTCCTCATGTGCACAGATGATAAAAACTGCATTCAGATGTTGCTGGTCCTGTTTCACTCCAGAACAGGGGATTTAAGACTGAAATGTCATCCTGAACTCACCCCTGGTGCCTAAATAAATGATAGTGACCTGCTGTGTGAATCGGCTTAGCAGAACCTTGCAGGTTAAAGTGCTCTTTGGGGAGAGGAAAGTCTGAAAGCAATTCTGCCTGATATAGCTGTCAGCTCTGTTAACTCTTTCCAGGATATCACCTCTCCTTTAACCACAGAGAATCCAACAGAATAAATATATACTCTCTTTTCTTAGCAGGATACCTGGTAAGAAACTTTACCGACTACAGTAGATGCTTAAATGGAGAATATTATTTTGCTTCAGATTGGCTTGACTGTTAAATTGCTCTGCAGCCTCTATCTTTTTCTGAATTTAAGTTTCTCCTGTGTATGAACATTTGTTCCTTTTGTTCTGACTTTGAGCCAAAATTTTTCCTTCTGTTTTTAAGGCTCATCTTCTTTCATTCTTGCTCCTCATAGCTCAGACTATTTTCTTTGTTTGGAGGCAGATGCTTTGCCGATGTTATTGACACTTCTTCTGAGCATCTGGAACATATTAGATAAGACCAAAGATCTGTCTAATCCACTGCCTCATGTTAAAAAGCAGCTGGTACAGGGGTTTCACAGGAAGGAGCTTAGGGAAGATAGATTATTTATCTCACATAATTTGCCACATGCTGATACCTAATACTTAGGGATCAGATAATGCCATGAAGTACATGGTATTGTACTTTTGCCAAATATTTGGCCTTTTTCTCTCTAATCCTCTATCTGGTTTAAGTTGGCCTTTTGTTCTTCCTTTTCCTTGACACTATGCATTTTGATGTGTCTTGAACAGTCACCAGCCATGGCAAGAAGTCCGATGTGGTTCAGATTTGACAATTTTTGGCTGTAAGCAATTTCTAAAGAGCTGGGATTTTGTATCTATAGTGAGAATAAACCTGCCCTGGCATACTTCTGCTGCACCTCAACAATGCAAAAATTTTAATAGTTTGTTTGTTTTTTTTACAACAAGTAAAGTCTGTTTTACCAGGTTTGAGTCTTTGATGGATCTCTTTTCCTATCCTTTTCTCTGTAGCCATGATTCCTGGAAAAATTCTTTTTTTTTCTGTCCCCACCCNACCCCCTTTCTCTGGAAAGTGGAAAAAGTCTTTACTCTGGTGTTGAGCCTTAAAAAAACCCAGAAAATATCTTGAAGCTGTTGATAAAACTATGAGAACTGGCAAAGCTGGTACTCCTCTGTTGCCTTCAGAAAATACATGCTTTTTCTTTTAAATACAGTCCTCTGTGATTTTTTTCTTGATGTTTTGACTGCAGCAGGGAAATTTTGCATTGCTTTTGCAGAATTATCCTTTGCCTTATTTTTTTTCCTTTTTTTTTTTTTTTTTGTTCTTGTTGGATTGCGTTTTCTTTGTGATGCTGCTTTGATTTTGGCCAAAGGCTCAATATCTCTGAGTAGAATCTCCCTAAAGATCACTGTTTTTTCCTCCAATCTGTCAAGCTCCCTTCTTAATCTCATCCTTAAAATTACTCTTCCATCTTTGTCCAAACACTTCCATGTTCCCTCTCCCCACTTGCCACCTCATCTCTGGAAATACAGTCATGGTTGCCCCAGATGCTGATGAAGATCATTTCAACTTTGAGCACTTCCACTTAGTTTTTCCTTATTTTCTACTTTCCTTCATTCTCTCTTGTTTTCTTGCTTTTCTTTCACTGACAGCAGCTTTTAGCTGAATTAGACAGCATGATGAGCTGAGAATGGCACAAGCAGCCACCTGTGTCTCCCAGTATGATTGCCTGACATACATTCTGTAAAGTTATTCAGTATTTACTGCAAGAGGCATCACACTACCAAAAAATTCACATCTTGTGTAGAGAAAGTGGTTTCTAAAATCCATGTTTGCAAAGCTTTGTGAGATGGAAACAGACTTTTAAAATATGATAGCAGTGAAAATAGGTAACTTTGAGTTCTGAGTTTTACTTGGAGTTCCTTCATCCATCTTTCTGGGGTTCAGTTAGGCATTGGGCAAAAGTTTGATGTCAATCTGTTTGTGATTATTATAAAGAGTGCCAAGGGTTGGTAAATGGCATCATGATAGGCAAGCATGTACTCTTGCCAGACATTTGTAGCAGGCTCTGAACACGCTGGTTGGCAAGTGCTGGACATGTTACAAAAGCAGCAGCAGGTGGGAATGGTTTGCAGTAGAAACTCCAGCCTCTTGGCTGACCAACTCCGCCATGACCAATGGTTTTGAGTTACTGGTTTGTTTAACTGCCATTGTGGGAGATGTCATCACAGTACCCATAGTTCATAACTGTAAGGAAACTGTGCTGCTCCCTTCCCCTCCTCCTCCTCCTTCTCTAAAAATGTTCCTTGATCTTCCCTAAATTTTTCAGTCATTTCACAAGCAATGTTGCTCATATCCCATGGTAATTTTTCTCCAGGGAGGAGATCTTTTTGATGCTATTACTTCCACCAACAAATACACAGAGCGGGATGCCAGTGGGATGCTTTACAATCTGGCCAGTGCCATCAAATATCTTCACAGCCTGAACATTGTCCACAGGGATATCAAGCCAGAGAATCTACTGGTAAGTGAAGATTCATTTTTCAGTACTGCTGATAACTTCAGAGTGTGTGAGAAAAGGTCTGCACTGCCTCCTTCCACATGCCTGCCAAGTTTACTTCAGTCTTTTAAGTCACTGATCTTTTAATTTTAACCTTTGCATTGTAAAGTTCTCTTAAGAATAACAGCTGTCCCAGGAATTACAGTAACATAAGGTGGTATGTTCCATGGGACACAACAGCTGAGTTATTCCTGGGATCGCTAGAAGTAAACCTGTAGTAAACTGCAGGATAATTTCAAGCTTCTCAAAAATATAAGTGTTCTGTCCTCAGCAGACTATTCTGTACTTCTGTCACTGTGTAAATAATTAGCAATCCTTTAGTTTTACAAGTATGGTGCATGTCAATGCTGTGTTCTGATCATGTCATACATCACAGCAGAGCAAGGAAGAAACTTCATTGTCCTTCTCCTGCTGCATCTCCCAGATAATCCTATAGCACTTTTTATTAAGCCACTTTCACAAACAGACAATCTAAATCTTTGTTTTTCTGACTAAATCTATATGAGCCTTATCCACTGAAGACAGTGAAGAACATATCCTGGCAATTAGTCTTCTCAGAATTTTTGCACACTTGAATGCAGCAGTTGCATCCTCTGCACAGTTTTATTTCTCCTGAGAAATTAGCTTCTCCTGATTGTTTCACTGTTCTGAGTTTTCACAAATTTGCTGACATGTTCCAATATCAGGATATCACAATTCTCCACATATTCTGCAACCGTAAAACAATGTTCGTAGAATATAGAGTATCAGTTCTCTCAGCTCTGTGCTCTCAGCCATGACTTATGCTTGACAATGAAGAGGTTTTATGGGAAAGCTGACTCCAGCAGATATTACTAAACTTCCAGGCAGTGGGATTTTTACAGCCGAAGTTTCTCTAGTGGCAGGTTCTGGGTGAGGAAGTGACCTGCCCTCATTTTCCAGAAACTGCCTAAAACACACTGGCTGGAAGTTTCACTAGACACTACTGACTGATACACCTTCCTTGGCCCTTTTGCTCCATTTTAATTTCTGGTGCTGGTGTTGATAGGTGGCTGCATGCAGATGTTGTAGCAATCCCATGCTTCATTAATGATTCATTAATGCTGTTCTGTTAATGCTGATCTGTCTGTAAATGCCTGAACTCTATTGTTGTCAGAATTAAAATTCTTGGGGAAAAGAGCTGGTCAGGAGGTATGGGTAGGAGGTAAGGGCGGCAGGGCAGGGATTAGATTTATCTGCTCAGCTTTTCTGGTAATTACCCATTAATGATCACATTGTTCATATTGTAGCTGAATTATTTCTGAGTGATTTTTCCAGAACAGTGCATTGATTTTGAGACTGAGCTGTAAGGATGCAGCATTTAACCTGTTGCAGCATCCTAATTCTCAAAAGCCAGCATTTGATTCACAAATTGCATTAATTCTCTAAGGTTCATCAGGCCCTTGAAAGAAACAAGCGCTGCTTTAGAAGAGTGCTTTGGAACCAGCCTTACCTGAGCTCTGACCCTGGTTCTGACATTGGCTGCCTGTGGCCTCAGTGTGTTTCTGCTTTTATCTTTGCTGTCAAATGGGATGTGTGGTTCCTTCTGTCACAGAATTGAGCTAGCATTATTTTCATGGCATTTGCAAAACATTTAAAAAATGCCACATGGGTCTCAGCATTTCTTTTGCTAAATACCTTCTACTTGCCTTTTGTTTCCTGCCCTTTTCCTTGCAGCTCTTTAACCCTTCACCTAAGTGGTCATGGAGGAATTTTTCCCTTGCTCTTTGCTGTGGCTATCCCTCTGCTACAGTCACAGTGCTGCATGTGCAAACCCTGGTTGTGTTATAGCTGGTAGGTTAAGAGAATCAGCCCTTTCTCCCCCACCCTTTTCCTACTCATGGATTGTAACTTTAGGTTGAGAGGATCATGTCCTGAGGCTAAACAACCTCATGAGCAGGAAAAAAACAATAGGGAGGATGAGCAAGGCTGTAGAATTGCGGGAGGAGAACATGGGGAGTGAAGGGGATCATGCTGCTCTGGAGAAGGAGACAAGAAGAGGCTATTCACCTGGAGCTGTATTATTTCATCTCTTCCTGGTCCCTAGTAGAGCCTTTCCTTTTACCTCCTCCTTTGTCTCTTTTAATTTTTCCTTCTTCCCAAAAGTAACTTTCAGGCTTAGAACTAATGTGGGAGACCAGATCTAGGTCCTTCTAATAAATCTTTGTGTGTGTGAACCTGTCCTGTGTGCAGCACCCATTATTTTTTAACTGCTTAAATATTCCGTATTATCCTCAAGGCATGTAAAGTCCATCTAATGGTCAACTGTGCAAGAGTTTAGGGTGTGCTGGATACCTGTGATGTTTTAGCATTTTTGTTTGTTTCTTTATTCTCTAGGGAGTCTTCCATGTTTTAATTGGAACATTTTTCATAATTGTTGCTATTTAGAACGTTTATTTTGTCAAGTCATGGGATGTCTTTATAGCCATATAATAAACCCTAGAGAACAACTTCTCTGACTGTTGCCATCTGCACTGATCACAAGAGCAGTTTAGAAAATACTGACAGTCTTTATACTAATAGGATACATATGGTGGCATACAATTATGTGTGGCTGCATTCAATTAGTGTAGTACAATTACACAGTTTTATAGCTTAGTTAAAACAGTGAAAGCAGTACGTAGCGGGCAATTTGCACTAATCCCCATTTCTTTAATTGTCCTTCAGTATTTAAATGCAGGAACATATATAGCATTTATTCTGAATAACATAAGCGTTAAATTATCTTTCCAGTCCCTTGCCTGGCAAGTAACATACCACAGCTTCACACTGGGCTCTTTTTATATGAAATTATAACAGGGTGAGGAAAAGTTACTTTCTTCATTTTTAAAAGTCAACTGAAGTAGTTTTCCAAGAAAAGTAATTTCTCAAAACAGATGAAGCAGAATACTAGAAAATACATTGTACCAAACCTTCTGCATTGGTAAATATTGCCAAAGAAACTTCTTCTGTAATTAATTTCTAGTATGGATGAGTCCCACAAGGTGTGGTCTAGTGAAGAAAGGGATTTAGAAATGTTTGCTAGGTTAGCCCAACTCAGAGAGGGCTGTGTAGAAAGATAACTGCATGAAACAGAATATGAAATACTAATTAGGCCAGATTCAGCTCTTGATGTCTAAGTGCACACTTTACATATTTCAGCAAGTGAATATTTAAAACCCTAGTCTCTAGACTTTAATTAAAACTGTTGTTGAAATTAGATTTATTACTGCCATTTCAGAGAGCACTTTCTTTAGTTTCAGGAACCAGATGTATTTAACAATCTGTGTTTTGAATAAAACCATAATTGCTTTTTTTTTTTCCCAGTGCTTTTCTATAAACATAACTTTTTTCTGGCTTAGTAGAAGAGAAATGTGAATCCATTATAAATTGCTGGTCCTCTTAAAGATCCAGTTGAATTCTTAAAAATAACATAAGGAGAGGCGAAGAATTTTGTGTATTCTGAATGTCTGCTTGTGGCTGTATCACCTGGTAAGCAGGGATTCAGGACAGAGAGGGGTTTTCTCTCTAGGCATGACTAACATTAACAAATAAGAAACTGGGGGATGGGGGCTGTATAATATAACTAATTAGTATGAGTTATAACAGATCTGTGGTGAGAGACTTCAAGAATTTACTTTTGCTCCAACTATTCAAGGGTCCCATGTGGAATTTATTGTATTTTTATAAGAAAAAAAGCTAGGATTTTCTTTTGAAAACAGTTGTAGATAAATGTGATTTTGGATGTAGGAGTAGCTGGTCAAGATATATATATATATATATATATATATAATATATAAAGGATTATTTTGGTTTTGATTAGGAAGTATGACACCTACTATTTTTGCACAGTTTTGGTGCAAATTGTTTACGCAATATCACTAGTGGTGATCCAGACCACATAGAGCTTTGGTTTGGCTTGCAAAATAATAAAGTGATGATATTATAAGGTCTCCTGTAGACTGTTTCCATTTTTTGAGGTGCTATCATAGAAAACATTCCAAAATGGCAAGCAAGGACTCAAACCAGCACATTGATTAAAGATAGACTTACAGTCTAGTGTTTAATTTAGATACATTTTTGTATTTTTTATTTTGAATATTTTTATGGGATCTAATCTTAAAGGCACAGAACTTATTATCTGGCATAAGCAGATGGTGGGGGATACAATAGAGCATGATTTAAAATAAATCATAAAGTCACCCTAGGACATTAGTTTTCAGTGTTTGCAGGTTTGGGGCCCTTTTGCTCTGAGACGGCTTTTAAAATCACAGTTTTTTTACTGATGTTTCTAGCTTTTTTTTTGTCATGTGACTACATCTTAGTCTCCCTTTGCATCCATAAAACCCCGCAAAAGATCATGCTGCCGCTGTGAAGACCAGGTTTTAAGACAGAATTTTCACGTATCCCCATTAGCAGCCCTAACTACTTATGTCCCGTTGATCCTGATGTTACCGTGCCAGTAAGAAACTCATTGGTGTGTAAGAGTCATCCAAGAAGAGGAGAGTATTTCTAGGTGAAATACACCAGCCAGATTTGTGTCTTGTGGCTTCAACACACAAAGAAGAGCCTGGAACTGCTATCAGTACAGTAATTTTTCTATTATCTAAGTAGCTGAAGCTCCTTAAACCTTTAAGCTATCTGCAAGTAAAATGAATAAACTCAACCCACCTACACTGTGAATTCAGTAGGGAGCTGACACAGGAAAGCCACTGCTGGAAGGTCACACATTTACTTGTGGGCTTTAGCACCTAGCAAGTGTGCGGCTTTTGTTGGGCAGGTAGCGAGACAAGCCTTTCCCAAACATCCTGACTGTATTCGAGGGAAGTTGTCCAAATTGTCTGTGAATTTATGCAGAGAAATATGTTAAAGGTAAGGAGGAGAAAAAAACCCTGTAAATAAGAAGGAACATTTCAGACAGTTAGCAAGTGATTATAGTAGTTGCCTTGATGGTTTTGTGGTAAAACTTTCCATTTTCCTCCCGATTTAGGTTTATGAACACCAGGATGGAAGCAAGTCCCTGAAGCTGGGAGACTTTGGTCTAGCAACAATTGTGGATGGACCTCTATATACTGTGTGTGGGACCCCAACATATGTAGCTCCAGAAATCATCGCTGAAACTGGGTAAATCACTTGTAGTGGTGATCCACTGATGTGTACTCAGCGGAGCACATTCCTGCCATTGTGCCAGACTGGAGTTCTTGCAATTAAGACTTTTATTCTGCCTTTGGTTGGCTATGATGTAGAATCATGGCTCCTACAATAATTCACTTGGAAGGGACCTCTGGAGGCTATCTTACCCAAACCAGTTCAGAACAGGTTGGCATTGGAGTTATATTGGTCAGCCTCTGCCAGTTGTTAGCCTCAAACTTTGCAGCTTAACGCTGAGTTACTAACTAGCCTTTTGCAGATACAGTGGAAGTAATTCTATTCTCTAGAGACTGCTAACTGCCATTTACTTAATTGTATTTCATTATTACACACTGTCCTCTTCTGATTTGTTCCACAGAGTAAATGCCTGCTGGCTTGAACAGGCTGTGTCACCTTTGCAGACTTCATGTTGACAGGCATCACTAACTCAAGTAAACTCGACTTAGTTAACTAACTGAAAAATATAGCCCAATGTCTTCTGTGTACTCACACATTCTGATCTAATGTAAATTTAACTTTAAGATGTAAATGTAAAAAATTTTCTTAGCAGAATGAGGATTGGTAGGTAGACAAAGTTCAGATCAGAATTTATAAGAAATTATTCATAATTATGAACATACTTCCTCTGTTCTTGCACTGTAGTCCGTAAGAATCTGATGTCTCTAACTATGTCTCTCACACTTCTAGATATGGCTTGAAGGTGGACATCTGGGCAGCGGGTGTGATTACTTACATCCTGCTCTGTGGTTTTCCTCCATTCCGTGGGTATGGACTGACCTATTCAACTATCCTTATTATGTGAATTGGTCCCTGTGCTCCTTTCACATTAAGCAGAGAGATTCCCACTGGTAGAAGTTCTCTGCTCATAGGGTTTGATGTTTTTTTTTCTGTGCTCTGCATAGTGTTCTACACAAGCCCCATAAATGTCTGTGATTTTATGGTAAAATCTCTCTGTCTCGTGTTTGTTTATTGTAGTTTAAACTTCATTGCATTGCAAAACAAGAGTCTTCATTACAGGTTCTGCATGGCTTTGCCTGAAGTTTTAAATACACTGTGAAATAACCATCTTCTTTCATGGACAAAATGCAACATATTTTGTGGTTGGTAAAAGGTAACTAAAATGTAAGCCATTTAATAAGGATGTCAGATATTTTATCCCCTCAAAGCAACTGCAAAGTTGTGGACAAAAGACAAGCAGAAAGAGCATACCAAATGCACTGTGTTTTATGATCTCACCGTTAATACCTGTGGCTGCATGTTTGGGACAATCAATATCTTGCAAAAGCATACTAAGGCATGAGCAATTAAAAGCAATGTTAAGAAGTCGATTGAAAACACATCTGAAAATAATTTATCTTTGGGTTTTGTTGTTGGTTTTCTTTGGTTTTTACTTTACAGAAGTGGAGATGACCAAGAAGTGCTTTTTGATCAGATTTTGATGGGACAGATGGATTTTCCATCTCCATATTGGGACAATGTTTCTGACTCTGCAAAGGTGAGTTTTATAGTTGATGCTATTTTCTTCTACAGTATTATTTCTAGTGGGAGTGCATAGTGCATGTTGTCCTTTCACAGTGTTGTATTTGACATGTCTCATACATCTCCTGCTACCCCTATAAATTCCTCTGGGTCTCCAATTCTGTTTCAGTTGGTTACTGTCTCTTAGACTCCAGGTGGTTTTGAAATGGACCCCATTCTGAAATGAACATCATGTCTCTATATGATTTCTCACACAACAGAGACACCAACAGCCCTTATTGATTAAGAAAAAATTAAAGTAATTCACTTGCTAGCTCGAAAGTTCCCTTGGAACTGTGCTTTATATGTACTTATGAGGGGCACCAGGTACCAATCTGGAGCCTTTGAACATTACCTAATAATATTATGGAGAGGCTGATTTCCCTTATTGACCCCATTAGATGTTATGTCTGTTGTTTCTTCCTGTCAAAGAACCAGGCCTCCCATTGCCTTATTGTTACAGAGTGGTATGAAATACAGACTTGTTCTGGTCACAGCTCTTGACCTGCAGTCTTTGGCGTGCTAAGGCAGATATAATTATTTACAGATACAGACCTTGACAGAGTTCATTATACTTGCAGAGCAGATCAGGTTTTTTAACTCTCACCAATTCACTAGAACAACAGTTTAACTCAAAGATTTTCTAGGGATCTGGCATGCACTGTAGTCATATGTATAAATATGTATGGACAGAGACATAATACATATGTGAATGTAAAAAAAAAAATCACATGGTCATTCTGTAGATAGATAAGTGCTTACTTTCGGCCAGTTTACTTCTCTGGTCTGTAAGACAATCTATGAAAAACTGTCTTCCTGTTTCCTTCATTGTGACAGGGTTTGATGAATCACGAGGAAAAAAAAGTTAAATTTGGAGGTGGGTGCAGGTAATAAGAGTAGCTCTGAATCTCCATCCTTTGGAGAGTTACATCCTGCTTTTATAGATATGTGGAGCATAATGAGGACTAGCATTTTTGCCTTCTAACTAATGAGGTTGAAGAATGAGATACAGTCATAGAGTTGGAAGTCCTCTAAACCAAATCATTGTGTTGTAGCAGGCATTATTTAATAGCATCATTAATGGGAGCCCTGCAAATCCTTTGTCAGTGGGTTTTCCTGTGAAACTCCTTCTGCCAAATAGTTCTGTCTAAAAATTCTGATTTGAAGCCTTAGCCCATCCATTTGAGTTATTTGTGTAATTAAGAATGACTAGCTTTGGTCTTTGGTGATGGACCTTTATTTACTGTAATATTGCCATACTGTTCATGCACTCCACTCTGTGATCAAAATAATCTAGGTAATTGCAGAGAAAATCAGAGGATGAAAAATAATGATTTTAAGTGTCAGGGGTTTTTTTTAATATCTTCTATGTTATTTAAACAAGAGTTTAAAGTAAAACTGTACTTGCTGGCTTTTTTTTTTTCCTACAGTGGAATTGGCTTTTTCTTAATGGAAAGCTAGCCTAATTTAATGGGCCCATCTGTTTTGCACATTACATATTAAGTGCTTTTCTCTTAAACAGTGGTTTCAGAATTGTAACTCAGAACTGTCTTCTAGCTTTTCAAGATACTGTCAGATATTGATTTACAAGTTCAGCTGAGAGTTCATCAGTTCATAGTTTTTATATTTTTTGAATAATCTTAGTGTATTTCTGCAGTCAGTAGTTCCCTCTCCCCTTGAGAACTCTTACAAAATCAGTTAAAGAGTTCTTAAGTGTATGAAATATTGATTTGTTCTTTGAAGGTGTTCTTTAAATTCAACCCTGTATTCAATTTCTCAGGAACTTATCACAATGATGCTTCAAGTAGATGTAGATCTGCGATTCTCAGCCTTGCAAGTTCTTGAGCATCCATGGGTTAATGTAAGTATTTTCAGACTTGCAGATGCTTCTTTCAATTTGGCACCTTTGAGCTCTTTTCTGTCAAGCCCTTGCTATGCCCTTTTGAAAGCCAGCACATTCTAAAGAAGCTACAGATTTAACTGAAAATAAGTTGACTTACAGCCTGATTTAGTGTATTGTATACCTTGGAGTTGTCACTATTTTGTGTGTGCTCAGCTACATTTTCTCTGAAATGGACTTTCAACAAATCTCAATCCAATTTGATAAATGTGTATCTCTAACTCTCAGCTTGCAGGTTCAGTGACACATTTTATTCTCCTGAGATGAGGTGCACTCAAAAATCTTACAGTCATGATTAGGAGTAACTGAAATATAGTCCATACTTTTAAGCCTTCTTGATCCAGAATGGAACAGGGAAACATTTACAATCATATTTAGCTTCTGACAGTATTTAAGATTTGTTAATTATTCCAGACTATTTAACGTGTTGTAAAATATTTGGATGACAAAAATAAAAAATTGGGATAATCTGTATTCAAATTCAGAAGGGACAGCTTAGAAAAGAAACACAATTGGGATGGACAGTGAAAAAAGAAATACAGGAAGAGGAAATAATGCTTCATTTTGTTTGTTGCAAGTTTGAGTGTGCAGTCCTCCCTGGAGTACTCTTCTGTCCCTGAGCTGCTGTGTCCAAAATCCCTTTCTCACTAAAATCTATTCTAAAAATTCAAATATGCAGTCACCTCAGATATTTTTTTTAATGAAAGTGTCCTCTATATAGAGTAGTAGTGATCACTTAAGTATTTTCCAAGTACATGCTTTAAAATTGGAGGGCTCCCTTATTACCCAAACTACTTTTTAAATTATAAATGCTATTAACATGCAGAGCCCTTCTGTGGTGTATGTAAGAGTGCAAGGATCCAGGACAATGTTTGATGAAAATATTTTCATTTCGAAGATGACATTCAAGCAGCTAAAATATTTATTTTCCTTGGTGCCAGGGGCTATCCTTGGACACAGTGTTCTGTCACAGTTTATAATGCCTTATGGTGATTGAGGGGTCTCTCTGTCTCCATGGGAGGAGGACGTATGGAGTATTCTGGAGTGCTGAAGAGGAAGAGATGGAAGTGACTGGTCAGAGGCCACAGAGAGGCCAAGTCACCTGCAGTGTCAGCCTGCACACTGCTGTGAGATTGCTGAAATGTCACTTGCTTACACCACTTAAGGAAGTGGTCACTAATCTTCCATTTTTTCTGAAAAATATATTTGAAATGTTAACACTACCCCCAGATAATGTTTTTTTTTTTTTTAATTGTTACTCCATTATATGTTTTAGAAAGCCATTTTAGTGTGACGTATAAAAAAGAAGAGGTGCAGCTCTTTGGCAGTAACCTGATAGTGGTGGTGTGCAAGTGACATGAGGATCTGCTTCCCTGCCCTCGATAGCACCTGCTGGTGAGGATAGCAGGGGAGAGGAGCTAGGGGCTAAAGACTTTAAACACTCCAGAGCTCTGCTAGGAAAACCTGAGCTCTGATTACTGAAGCACCTTGGCAGATTCCCAAATTTCTGTGCAATAAGTTAACATGCAGAAACCTTTGCCAGAAGGTGGTGTAGAAAACTGGTATAAATGGACTCAAAAGAGAATTTAATACATTTTTGGAGGATGATTCCATTGGTGCTTATTAAATATAGTGGTCTGGATAGAGCTCTTGGCTCACAAAGCTCTTAAGTACTTGGTTGGCATGAACTAGATGATGTACCAGGGAAAGTTCAAGATCTACTTGCTTCTATTAAAGATACTACTTCTTAGACAGTGGCTGTAATGCACTGTTAGAAACAACATGCGGTGATGAATTCATCTCTGATCAAGCTCTGGTGCACTTGTAGTTTTATGCTGGTAATAATTCTCTGCAATCAAAACTTCTAGCAGTTCTGTCTGTAAGTACGTGAAACAAATATTCCATGACAATTCTGTAATTCCTTTTTTCTGCTGCTTTTAACAACTGAAAAAAAAAAATCAGTATTTTGTCTGCATCATTACACTAGAGATAGTTCATAATGCAGATAAAAACTGCTTTTGAATTTTCTTATGTCCTCCATATTTTTTTTCTGGGAGGAAAAACTCTAACACTGGGACCAGTTCAGGAAAGTGCTTTAACACATTCCAAACATTGCTCCCATTTCAAGGCATCACACATGGAAGCACTTAAGACTGGGCATCAAATTAACTAGATGGCACTACAATCCTAGTTCACATCAGAAGAAATAAGAACATGGCTGAGTTGAAACAGGTGCTTAAATGGTTCCATGAGAAAGGGCACTTCCCTGAAGTGTGTCTGGGCAGTATCAGTAGATAAGCTAGCAGGAGCAGCCTGTTGATGCACAGAGGCAGAATGTACAGTGTCAGATCAAACTACACATGCCTCTGCCATCACTGGCTGGATCAGCTGCAAGTCTATCACACAGCCTCCCTGGACCTCATTTTCCCAGCTTCAGGACAGAGAATTAATGCACTTATCCCTGTTTACAAAAGGCTCTGCAATCTATGTGTCGTAATTACCTTAGCAATTATGTGTATACTGTCTTTCTGAGAAGAAATGGCACATGGAATTTTCACCTACACTCCATTCTCACAGGTAACCTTCTTAAATATTTTTCCATGGTGTCAAATGCTGGAGTTTACTTTCTCTATTAGTTTCAGCTGGGATAGAGCTCACTACAACACTTCCCTTATTTCAGTTTTGAACCTATTTAGAGTGTTAAAGCTGCAGCTAAAATGCTAGGTAGAACAGCTGGCTTGAAAAGCAGGCATGTGTTTTCTTTGACAATTTTAAGAAACATTTTCTCTCTTTGATCAAACCTTTGACAGAAGTGTTGTAACTGCTTACACTGTATAAAACCACTTTGTAGATTGTAAATAACCATTCTACTTTATAGCTGGTTATTATGTGATTACTTGGTAAATTGCTGAGATTCCTGGAATGTGCTTTGACAGTTTCAGTAGGAGCAAACCCTCGTTTCAGTTTAAGTTTTTGCTATAAAAATATCTGGATTCCTCTTGGAAACTGCAAAGCTTGTTATGGTCAGACCAGTAAAGCAGTTTCAATGTGAATAATATCCCAGCTGTTATCAATTCAAAAAAACCAAAACCTGAAAAGATGTTGGCTACATGCCACTGCCACAGATGGAGATCTTGATTTCGAAATGCAATTCAGCAGCAGTTCTTTGCCCCTCCATTTCGTTTGTTTGGAGTCATCTCTCCTATGCAGTACACTTAGACCTGGAAACAAATCCATTAGTGTATACTTCCCCTACAGGGACCCCAAATCTTTACTTTACCTGCTCAATTTTTTTTAGGTAGGAAGCTTGAGGTCTGGCATTTTAAACTTTGATGTTATTGATAACCTGAAACAAGCTACAGGACAAACTCATTCTTCTTTGTATAAGCAGTAAATGTTTCCTAATACATCACTGAGCAGTGAATGCTGAAAGGGATGGCTTGCATTCTGTAAATCCTTCTCTGTTAAAATAATCAATATAAAATGTGTGTTGTTGCTGGAAGACGAAGATGGCACACATCAGCCTAAAAAGAAGAGAGAACCTGGAGCTTTAATATTTTTCCCTCGCTATGTCTGCCTTGGAAATTTGTGTGCAAAAGAAATTAATAACCAAGTGATAAGTATAAGTAAGCTAAACATTTGTAAGAAAATTAATTTTAAAAGACATTCCTTGTTTTGCAGCTGCATTAGTTTTGGTTACACCCTAGGACACTGCACAAAAAAAAAAAAAAAATTCCTTAGAATCCCTAAAGGAAACAGTGTCCAAAAGCTTTTCCAGCACTTCTATTTACTCTAATTTCCTGCTGTTACTTGTATAATGATCTATTCATGTGACGCTTTTAGACCTGGAAAGTAAAGCTCTTGTGACCATCTTGTGAAATGGATCTAAGTTCTCCAAGTGCTCCAGGGCAGTAGGAGTCTGGGAATCCTGAGCTTCATTTGAGTGGCAATGTCTCCTGACACAGAGAACAATGCAAATATGAAACCAGTTTTTATCAATTACTGGAATTTCTCCAAGACCTTGTGCCTCTTTTTTATTGTTTTTTTTTTTTTTTTATTTTGAATTCTTGTAAATAGACCATGAAAGGTATTTTGTAGAGGCTGATTAAAGAAATCAATCAAACAAACAAACAAACAAAAAACCCCAAAAAACAAACAAACAAACAAAAACAAACAAAAAAAAACCCAAAAAAACAAAGCAAAACACCAAAAACGTGTTACCATTCCAAGCAGTTTATATTGTCCATGTGAAAACTCAAATTCTGAGCCAGAATTTTCAAACTCTTTTGACTGCTCAGCTCCTGAGGTATGCACAGGAGAGCTCTTCTTTCAGACTATTAGCAGTCAACATTTTCTGAAGCTCATGACTCTCTAAAGTTTCCAGATGGAGCAGCAAAAATCACTGGTCACCTTTAAAAAAAATCTTGTGATTAATGCTAAAGCTGAGATGAAATTCTGTGATCCTAACCCACTGCCAAAAGCAAAGACTTAGAACAGGGGAAAGGAACAGTTAACCTCTTCAGGGTTTGACATCCCTCCCATTTCAGCAACCCAGTGAAATTCTTGTCAGCAGTGTTTACACTGTTCTCCAATTCTACAACTTAACCTGGTGATTCTGATCAATTTGATATTTGATGTGGTGGTTTTTTCACTTCTTGCCTTTTAAAACTGCAGAGCAACTTGTTTTGTATTTAGTTAAACAGCTGTCATCTCTCACCCTCAATAGCTATCTTATTGTTGACTGAAGTAATTCTAGGAGCCAGTTTAATATATATTGATTTGTTTATAAAGCATGTTTGAATAAAAGAGAACTACTAAACATCAGGTGGCATCAGCAGTAGTAATAAAAACTTATTAATAATGGAGGAATTCTGATATAGCCCTATGCTGCATCTTAAATTGGCCTGGAAAGTATTTCATCTAAAAGCTGGAACCCAAACTATGTGTCTGTGGTATGTTGCCACAAGAACTGCGGGTGTGGTGCTTCACCAATAAAATATGACCACAGTCTTGGTAACTATTGTCTTGTCTGTAATTTAGTCTTTGACAAGATGACATGAACTCTTGGCAGACTTTCATGTCAAGAAAGCCAAGAGAATTATTTTATTTTTCTTCCCTGCTCTCGTGAAGAGGAGTTCCTTTACAGACTAGCTTTCTTCTGGGAAAGGCAAGGTCAATGGGAACCAGGTTATTTTTAGGGGTCATATACCACCGAGCCAGGACTCCCCAGTGATAGACAATAATCAGCTACTGGGTTGTATTGTTTTGTTTTGTGTTTTGCAGCTGTGTGCACTTGACCATATTTTGCCAGCTGAGACATTTTGTTAAGGGGTGAGTAAGGGATCTCTAAACACAAACTCCCCAAGCTAAATAAATAACAAACCCTACCAACCTCCCTAAAATTCCCATATGCTTACTGAACTCATGATTTACTGCAGCAGCTCTGTAACTCTTTAAGGGCACTCATAATGACTGAAAAATAAAAGAGAAAAGTGTCTGTCATCTCTCACTATTCTAATATTTTCTTGTTTGTGTTTATTCTGCTAGGATTTTGCCAAAGTGGAGTTTAAGAATTATTTCAGCTGTTTATTCCTATACACACCATGCAGCACCAGTTAGGGATGACTAAGGCATGTGGCCCTGTGTATTTTGCCTATTCTACATTTTGTTTCCTATTCCACATATTCTGTGTATTTGTTGCCTGAAGTCCTGCATATACTGCTAGTGGGGAAGTGTCACTGAGCAGTGGCTTTTTGCACATTTTTCAGGCATAAGGAGCTTATCTACAACTTCTTAAAAAACCTTCTCTTTCCCTGGGCTTGAATTCAGTCTGCAGACTTGTGCAAAACCACAAACTCCATTATTTCTGTCAGGGTTTCTGCTCAGCATGGAGGATGCCAGTGTCCTTAGGTGCAGGTATCCAGGTTTGCTTTGCAAAGTGGGAAGTCTCAGCTGGAAGGAGGAATGTCCCAGCCCCGCCTCTTGTTTTTGTAATATCTTGGATACTTTTTACTTTTGAGGTCATTATCATTAAATTTATGTGATGAGTAAACAGAATCTTAAACACATCTGAATTGCTCGGGTTTTGAAATATGAATGGGCATAAAAATAACTGGGTAGTGGTAATTAATAAAGAAAATGGTAAGAAATGGTAAGAAAAATGAAATGTTTAACAATTGTTATTAATGAACATTACCTAAAGTTTGAGAAGAAAATATTGGGTAAAGAAGAAGAGAGAGACTGCTTGGTTCCATAATATGTTCATCTTGTAAGTACCTTAAATGTATTGATGGAGACAATGATTGACCCATATTTTAACACAGTTTGTAAACTTTTCTGTATTGATGGGACCTATCAGAATCACCTCACAGTTCCTTCTTTTTTTTGTCTCTCTCTGAAATTTTATTTTGCCTCATTTATCTGCAGGATGATGGCCTTCCAGAGAATGAACATCAGCTCTCAGTAGCTGGGAAGATAAAGAAGCATTTCAACACAGGCCCTAAGCCGAACAGCACAGCAGCTGGAGTTTCTGTCATAGCAGTAAGCATCTGAAATACACAGATGAAACAGATTTTTGTGCCCACCAGACAGTTTTGTGTTTATGACGCCAAAAGAAACCAGAGAGGGTTAATATTTAGATAAATGTAGCATTTAATTAATATCAGCATAGTAAGACTGGTATCCTGCACAACTTCTCCTTTGATTCTCCTTGTGAGTCACATTGTTATTTAACTGCCCTAGGAGATATAACTGTACACACAGTACACAGTTCCATATTTTACCAGAAGATCAGTGGACCTAACTCCAATGTAAATGCAACAATTTGAGCTGCAGGATCATGACATTTTACTTGGCAGCAGACTCATTATATGGATTTAGGCCACACAGAGACTGTAGCAGGACTGAACCACTTTAAAATGGAAATTTCTTCAGAATTTAACTGAAAATCAGTATGGCAGCCTAAGCCTCTCCTCTCTGAAGACATGAAAGAGAGCTGTGATGCCTCACTGCTGCCTTCATGGTTAACATGAATCTAGCCACTTCAGATTTAGCTAGGCAGCAGCATTTTATTGTAGTGCCACACACAACGTGCTTCCCTGTCAGCAGAAGTTTTTAATGGGGTAAAGACTTAATGGAACTTCTTGCTGCCTTCTGTCACATTGCAATTCCAGTGGAGCCATTCTAGGTTTGAACATGTCAGAGTGTCTGAAACAAAGCTTGGCCAAAATTTTGACCAAGCTTTACTGAGATTTCAATGGCATCCTCAGTGGAGCATACATCACATACAATTGTATTTTTTCCTCACAGATGAACATGTGTATTATATATACATGGACATAGGATATATTCAGCATATGAAGAGATTATTCATACTAATGCCATTGAATGGTAACATGCACATCCTTCACATTTTTGATACATCTGCTTGTGTTTGTAAGCTTTCCTTTATTACTCATAGTAATGTGAACACTCCAAAGAGTCACTAAAATTGTGACATGTTAAACGTAACCATTCCCATATCAGATTACTCAGTGTTCATTCCCAGCTTCCATAAATTGCAGGTGGTGTGACTGCACATGTACACTTTCTTGTACTGTTTCCACTTTCATGTTTCTCAGCTCAGCCCCTCCAGTGTTGAGTTAAATCAGCATGAAATAAATTCAGCTCAGCACATGCAATCTGGCTCACAGGTGTGAAGTGCTTGTGCAGCAAAAGGGATACTCTCTCAAAGTTACTAGGTATAAATACTTAAAATTTCAAACTGTGCCTCTCTCATATTTTTTCTTTACTCTTTCCTACCCTGAATGTCCTCTACATGGAAGCAAGTTGTTCCTCATGCTTTTCCTAGAGTTTTTCAGTCATCAGCTAACATAGTCAGCATTTATTTATTTTCATTTTTAAGCAATAATACTGCAGCAACTCTCCCACAACTAAAACATCACATACCCATTGCTCATCTGAACTGCAGGTATGTTCTTTATAGACTAGCTGAAACTGTGTTCCTATTGAATGGACTGCCAGCACGCTTGTCCATGAGAATTACTGCTCAGATCCTCCATGCTAATGACTTCAAGCTTAAAAGCAAGAAATGATGCCTCTGTCCTCATCCATCCCTTGCCTCCTTTATGTTTTTAATTTCCCTGCCCTCCTCTTTTTTTTTTTATTTGCCCCAGTTGCTTTGCCAAGAAATTGTTTGCAGCAGTTTAACACCCAAGTAATGAAAAAGGCACTGTAGTGAATCTGTCCACTGCAAAACATCAGAAAAAAATGTGTGTGATTAATTATATTCTTAATGACTTTTATTTATCTTTTAGTGTTTTGAAATTTAACAGATTGTTTTTAGTGATCATCTCTGTGGGCAAACTTCATATTCTGGCATGATTGATCCTGCAACTATAAAGTAGAAATGTTTAGAATACTTAGAAGAGATGGGGAAATATAGACCTCTTTAGTGCTTTGGTAATGTTTCAGAATGCTAGATAATTTTAATTTTATGAATAAATTACTTTCGTTTTCTACAAAAAAAAAAAAAAAATGTACAAGAAAGCCAAAAGTAGAACAATGCCTTTAAATGTTGATTCTGCATTTAATAGTCTATTTAATATACATTTGACATGCATGTCACCAGGGTTTTATGTTTGGGAATCTCCCTTTAACTGTGAAATCTCAAGCTAAAGTTAAATCCTATTAACAAAGGCTGCTCTAGACTTAGAACTTTCAAAGCATGTATAGATGCTGTAACATCTATTGTTTGGCACTAAAGACATGCACTAACTATATTTGCTATAAAAATACTGGGGGTTTGTGCCTGCCTGTATGTTTGCATACTTTTTAGAGAGAGTGCTTGTGTATATAATATATAGAATTGCCATCTGTATATTATATAACACATACGTGTCTATGTTTGTGAAAATGTGTTAATATGTGCTTATATTTATATAGCTTAATAGTATGAAAGAAAAAATATTATCATTATTTTGAGTATTATAACCCTGTTTTATGTACAGAGCTTGCTAATATGTGGTATTTAGTTCTTAGTTTGTCCTCACATTGGTATGATGTGATATTATATGCCTGTTTTCTCCAGTGGTAAAAAGTTACACACCTCAAAGATCTCAAGGAGTATTTACCATATGCACCAATTAAAACTATAATATGAAAATTAAGTTCCTAAAGATGTGTCTCTGGTCAGCTTGACTGAAAGGAAGTTTGAAGCTACATGTGTTTTGCACACAACTTCTGTGGCTACTGCTTCCTTTAGCAATGTCCAAATTGCATTGATTCCTTTGGTTCAGACTTATGTCTGCTTTATTGATGTGGTAATCTCAGTAAAAGTTGTCTCCATCTACCCAAGGCAGAGACATCCTGCTTCTCGTGCATGTGTCCAGACTTCAAGTTTGTCCACATTTGAAAGGATTCATCAGTTTGGACAAACTATCCTAATGAACATGTGCATGCCTAGCAAAGCAGTTCCTTTGCTGATGTAATAGAACGATTTCTCAAAGAAAATCAACTATACAAGCACAGAGACTTTTCTGTTGATGCAACAATACATCATTAAAAGTTCTGCCAGAGTAACTATGTCAGTTGGGAAAAAATTCCCCTGAACCAACATAGCTTTGCCAGCAAAATTTTAATTGGAGAGCTAGCTTTTAAAACAGCAAGAGAATTAGCAAGTCCCTAAAAAACACTGCTTGCTGATGAGAGACTATGTAGGAGAAATATCACTTTACTTGCCCTGTTCTTAAACTCTTGTCACAGGCATTGACTACCGGTCTCTGTGGGAGGCCGTTTGGGCTAGTGCCCTTCAGTCTGTGTCAGAATGGCCACATTACTGTTAAGCATGTGCCAAAATATTTGCAGGATCATGTTTCTCATACAGCTTTTCAATAGGAGCAGTATTTTTTAGTTCTGTGATGGTGTTTATAAAAGGCACTGCAGTAAAAACATAAAAGCAGGCTTACATTAAATAGCCTTTTAAAAATTTTGGGGTAGATTTTATTCTTCAGTCCTTCAGGGGTGTCAATTCCATTTATTTTGGTTTGGCCACAAAACAGTACCCTTATGGCTGTACCCTTTAGGCTTCAGTGACAGTGGCTAGAGCGACTAAGAGCGCAAATCACATTTTAAGATTGTTTCTGCAGTCCAAAGGTGTGCTGTAATTCCTTGTATGAACCGAGCATTGTTTAATACATGTCCTTGTCTGAAGTGTTAAATCTTAGCCTGTATGTCATCACTTTGGTGCTTGTACTTTTGCCATTGTTAGGACAGGGAAGAAGACTAATGCTAATCTGCTGTTAAGGTTGTATGAGGTCTCTCTCTTGGCAACAGGAGTAAACCCCAGCTGGAGATGCAGAGTAAATAAGTAGAACAGAAAAGGAGAAAAGCTGCTTAGAAAGTTGGTGCAGCTCCCTTCTGCTTACAGGCTCCTGCGTTGGGGACCCTGGCAATGGGCAGGCAGCATGTGGGTCATTGCCCTGCATTCTGCCGATTTTAAAATAAAAATGACCCATGCCAAGTGGAATTTTTAGCCATGGGATTTCTTGGGTGGTGTGGAGGAGAAGCCAAGCCTAGCCTTTAAGTTTTGCTTGAAGTCTTAAAGCTGAACCTGTGTCTCGGCTATTCTTTCTCATCTATTGTCTGTGTTGTCCTGGGGTCGTTTTCCACAGTTGGGTTTCTCATGGCAGGATTTCCACACCACCAGAATTGTTTCAGCTCTTGTTAGGGAGTGACTTTCCCCGTTTTCTCTGAATAGATTTTTGGCTATTCAATTTTAGGGGAATATTTTTGATCTGCTATTTAGGAAAACGTCCCTTTTGTGTGTTTTATGTGCAGCATACAAGGAAGCCAGTAGATGGCAATAGCAGACCAGTGTAGTTAAACCAACGCAAATTTAACTCTAGGTACAAGGTTCCCATGGTTTTAAACAGGAAACATGATTTAAATAATTCTAAATAAGATGAAAGAGGCATTGTTTTAACAAAAAAAGAATAAATTATTAAATTCTACACCTGCTGGGGAGTCATCAAGAAAAAGTTAAATTTGCAGTTAGTTCCTAACTCCCCTTTAAGTCGTTGATACCTGGAAATGCGGTGAACTGCTATTCTGAATTTAGAATTAGAAACTGTCATCAGTATTGCAAATATATGCAACGCTCTTTTGGAAGCCCAAAATGGCCTTTTCCCTTCATAGAGCAAAAATTTGAAAATCAATGCAACAGTTTTAGAGCAGTTAAGAGTGTCTCTGTCAAGAATTTTCCCCCAAAATTTTTTGTAATTCAGCTAAATTATGTTTCTATCGTCTGTTAGTGCAGCACAGAAGGGTTAGGGAAAGAACACATTTTCTTTGTTCCTATGCACATGATTTTGCTGATGATAAACTAAACTTGAAAGATCTGTAGTCCTTAAGTAATATCACCAGCACAATTTCCTGGACACAATGTTAAGTTCATTTCCATTTTGACTTTAATTGGTGCAATTTTAAATCAGATAGTTTTGTACTGTTATCTTTTTGAGCATGAGGTGTAAGCTGAAATGATAAACAATGTTATTCATGGCTCTGAGTAGTCCTACTCTCTAAGGTTAACGCATTTTTAGAAATGAATTACCATGATTGATGGGGTATCAAAACCTGATTCTTTTCATCTTTACACATTCCATGATTATGAAGCAGTCTAATTTAAGCCTTGTGTAGTCTGTCTAGCCTGCTCCTTGTGATGGTTGCACTACATTTAATTTTTTTTTAAATTATTATTTTTGAACTTCTCAGTTTAATTGCAAAAGATAATATTCTATTACTGGTATGTGCAACTTAAAAGGGCACTACTGTCTTTGGAGGTAACAAGATATTTCAGACTTTTAAATGAATGCATTATGCATTAACTAACGGATTTGCAAACTCCGTTTTAGTTTGAATAAATTGGCTTCTAATTTGGCAAGACCAAATCTAGAATTAGTATATTTTTCTTTTATTTCTTTACTTTTTTTTTTTTCCTTTTTCCTCTGCGGTACATAGCTTTAGGATGTTAGATAAGAGTGAAAGTGAAAACAGTAAATATGCACTAAATAAGGAACAGCTTGCTCTGGAGTCTGAATTCTCTAGCCTAATGTCGATCCACTGAGTTGCCCCATTTCTCTCTGCTCAGCTGGACCACGGGTTTACCATCAAGAGATCAGGGTCTTTGGACTACTACCAACAACCAGGAATGTATTGGATAAGGTATGAGATGGTGCAGCGCCAACAGTCAGTGTTTCCATGGCAACGTGCTGGCAGTCTCCATTAACCAGTTCCTTCAGTGGATAAACATGCTTTTTGATTTGTTATCCGGTCCATATGCTGCTTTATCAGTTTCGTTTTAATCTTGATTGAGATGCCACACCCCCTCATTCCCTTTCTTCACCCATCCCTCACACCCACATTGCCAGCTTTCTCGTCATCGCACATGCTCAGTATCAATCTCCCTTATAGTTAAAAGGACAGTGTATATAGAAAATCTACAGATATGCTGAAGTACGCACCCTCCCCCTCACTTCTGCTTGTTAAGGCATCTGCTTCCCCTGTGCTCCTGTTTCAAAACACACGGAGCAGCAACAGGCTCTCAGCATATATTTTCCTCTTTTTCCATGCAAGATGTGGAGCTATATACTGTCATTTTAAACCCACTAAACACAATCCTTACCTTAGATTGAACAATGCATTTGCATAACGCGGGCATAGAAACTCTCCCAAGTTCACTGAAATACAATGCATTGTATGTGCTGGTAAGCTTGTGTTTCTAACAATGCATTCCTTCTCTTTTCTTTTTAAAACCCTTCTGATACCTATTTATTTTGGTTTGATTTTTTTTTTTTAATATTGCATGAGTCTCTTGAATCTATTTTTCTTCATTGTGTAACTGTGCCAGGGTTGTCGTTAGCCGGCTTAACCTGTATGATAAAATGGGGCTCTGGGCGGGAGGGGCTTCTTCTGGAGCGGGGGCAAGGAGGGTTCCAGGTCTGATAGCCCACGAGAGGCCCATACACCTCCTCAGTTAATCCAGAGTGCTGGAATTTCCATCAAGTGGTTACTTGCTGTCTTTTTCCTTATTACTCACAAGACCTACATTTTGATGCCTGGATAAATTTTTATAAGTTTACTGTGAGACCTGTGGCTTCTAGCACTGTGTTTAAGTACTTGTCTGTGAGGGGTTTGTAAAATCTCAGCAAAGTAACCGCCTTAACAGCAGAGATGGTCACTGTGAGTGTTTCCAGTAAAGTAAAACTCCCACCCTGGATCATTTCACCAAGTGCATGGATCGGGCTGCAGCACGCTTTCCATAAAACCCAACGGTTCCCTGAGCGCACACTGAGGGCTAAGTAGTTTCTGATATGGATGTTCTGGGGAAAGAAAAACAAAACAAACCCAAACCCAAAAATAAGCCTGTTTTTCAGGCAAAAAGTAGAAAAGTCAATCCTATTAATGAGTTGAACGCTGGCTAGCAACAATTGAGAAAGACTCTCATTCCGAGTGCTGGAGTGCAGCAGTACCTGTAATTCATCTAATTCCACGCTCTTGTAGTGGTGGCTACAAATCCACTGTGACCTGCAAGGGCAGAGCAGAACCTGCTGATCTGTCTTGTCACTTGGCCTCCTTCTTTGTGTTCCTTGGTTTCAGAGAAGGGGGAATGGGACCTGAGTGCCCAGCTTTAGATGACTGTGGGTTTGATAGTATTAGAGGAATTTTCTGTCAAGCAGAACTTTGACAAAGAGTTGCAAATTTAATGCCTGGTCTGTAAAATGGTGGGGAAGATCACATGAGCTTTATTTATCTTCCTGGAGGTTAATTGCTATCTATGGTCAGTTTACACTCTTTCTCTGATTTACATTTTTTATTTTACATTAAAAAAAAAAAAAAAAGAAAAAAAAAACCACAAACAAGCAATGAAAGTCTTTCCATTTGCTATACACAATATTTGGATCTTTTAAAACCTCTGCTTCAGGGGGAGCAGATCACCAGAAACAGGAGCCTGTGAGAAAAGAGAACATCTCAGATTGGCCTTGACTCAGTTTAACTGCATAGCCCAGGTTTTGAAACAAACCATATTTGGAGAGGTAGGGGGGAAGGTTCTATGTCTGCAACTTGGTAAATAAATAAAGCTATTAAAAAAAAAGGTCATTTGACTAAAGCAATAGTAATGGCTGCCATCAGCATACAAAATGACACATCCCTGAATAATGGGCTGGAGCAGATGGGCGATAATCTCTCTTATTCATACATAAACTGCTCTGTTTTCCAGCTGGGGGCAGTAACAACAATGTTTATAATTAGGGTTTTCTAAACTGTGCACCTAGTGTGGAAAGGCAAATTGGGAGATCTGGGCTCCTAGGCGTGGGTGCTTAATTAGGAAATCCTCTGTGAGGGGGTACAGCGGACCGAGCACTGCCGTGTGTTTGGGCCTCTCTCGTCTCCCAGAAACATGCAGCTGTTGTCATGACCAACATTTTTGTCTAAATAAAACCATTTTGATGTAGCAAGTGTTTAGTTTTTAGTAGCACAGATGCAAAGCATATGAAAAGGTTCATCAATTCATGTCTATAAAACAAACAATTTATCACAGGCACATGAAAATTAATCAGAATTCACAAGTACAGCGAAAAATGAAATAGTGTCTCGAGGAAAACATAATGCTCCCTTTGTTAGTGTTAAACTACTTGTTTCTTCTGCACTTCTCTTTTAGTTTTTATCTGTATTTTCTAGAAGTCTTCTAAAATAATTTCAAAATTGCACTATTTCCCACTATTTCCTCCTTCAACAATCAGAAAACCTTGTCCTTTCTCTGCCTAAAAGACTTCTGTTTTCAAAGTCCTTCAAAATCCTAATTTTTCCAAGCATATTCTGCATCTTCTTTTATTCCCTTTCAGTGGCATAATACATGCAGAAGTGACATGATTTTTTGCATACAGCAGGAGTTGTTGTAGGTGGCATGAGCTATAATGCCTGGAAAATTTTTCACAGTTCCTTGAATATGAGGATCTGGGAAAACACAGGGCCCAAATCAGCAAAATCATTTGGACCCCAGACTAATACATATTTTTAAAACCAATCCACCAAATGTTGTTGGAACATCAGCCCTGCAATCAGAGGTGCAGTAAAGGCCAAAGCAGCATCAGCAGGGGACAAGTCTTGGAGGTCCCAGTTAAAACCCTGAAGATTGGGCTGATTCAGAATATCAAAGAAGCACCAGAGTGGTTGCATCCATAGTAGAATATTAGTAGAAAATGTCAGTATGTGTAGTAGTACATATATTAGTAGTATAGAATATTAGGGTGTGTTATTTTCTATATATCCAAGACACTCAAGAAAAGCAAAATGGGCAAAATAAAATCCAGGGGGTGTATGGAAAACTCATTAATGACCTATCAAAATAATGACGATAGAAAGGAGATGAGTTACATTGGATGCTTAACAGAATTATCAATCTAGTCAATATTAAATTCATAAATACTATATTTTTAAAATACAGTTCTCACTGTCACAGTTAAAAATATATCTAAATAGCTCATTTGAAAACCCATAATTCCATCCTCTATGTTTGGTTCCTAATTCACATTACTTTGCATCTGTCGAGTTACGTACACCTGTCCCAAGTGCATACAACACACTTTTAAGTCAAAAGTTGCAGCCAGACATCTTGGTGATGGGACAAGGAAGCTGGGAATCAGGTTTGCTTTCTGTAAAGTGCCATTTTTAATAACATAAAACCTTCTGTAAACTGAATATTGGTAAATACAGGCAGATACCTAAAATAATTTTAAATCTCTTCTCCTGATCTTTGAGTAAAAAACCCACAACTGATTTACAAAGTATAAATAAAATGCACTCATGCAAACAACTTGGCACTAGCTCTCTTCCACATGTAATTGAAACCAGCTGAGGAATCGTGTCTCTAAAAAGGGGGATGTCAAAGAGTAAACACAAACTTAAACACAGCAATATGAATTCAACAGTTACGTATACAGAATACTTGTCTTTGTGTTCACTCACTAACACAGTACAAAGCATATATCAAATTGATTTGGTTTTCTTTCTTTTTTAGTTTCATTTTAGCTAAATTTCATGCCAGAAGTTACATGGTGTGCTAAAGCATCAGGCTTTTGTATTTGGAGGTCTGGCTTCAAATCCACTCGATTAATTTGTCCCCTCGATGTGGTCATTTGCATGTCTCCAAATCACCATGTAACTTTACTTAGTTATACCTTGTGCCTGAGGGACTAAAAATACCATGAGTGTCTTGCTCCTGGACTAAAGTGCATTGCTAAGTTTGAAGTACTCTCAAAAAAGTGTCTTGATTCATGAATCAATCACACTTAAAAATATATATATATAAATATATATTGTGTATATATTATATATATATATATATATAACCTGAGAAACCCATGGAAAAGAAATTTAAAAAAAGATGAGACTGAAGGGCTGCCTGGCTTGTGCCACAAGCAATGTTTAACGGTCATTTTTACAGCAAGGAAACCGGTCAATGTATAAAAGTCACTAGCCAGAAGTTAAAGGAAATAAGATAAACTTATCTAGGTGTGAGCATTTAAATGTGTGTATAAAACTGTGGATATAAAAGAAAGTACTGGAAGAAAAAAAATACCAGTGTTTCAAGACATAGATTTATCTAATTCCACACACTAAACCAAGCTTCATGAAAATTGCTAACAAATTGCAACTATGCTCCTGCAGAATAAAAGCAAGCAAAGGGAAGGGTTTCTTAGATTAATGCGTGAACAGCTGCATCCCCAGTTTAGTCTCCTGGCTGCTATGAATAATGTATGGACTGAGGCAAAATGCACATTAATGTTCTTTTATTAATGAAACTAATATATATCTGTATTTGGTGGCCAGCAGTAAATTAAGACAAGTGAAAACAATAACAGTCACTGCTCACTTTCCTAAAATTCAGTTACTTTAATCCAGTAATTACTGACCTGACAGCCCACAGCTAAAATAAGGTTCTTCCCATTGCAAATCCACCATGTATATCAAAGCAGTTTTAGTTTTTGAGAATCTGTTCATAAATACACAGTGCAGTGTTTTCCAAGATAAAAAATAGATTTGCATGGCTCATGAGTCCTGTAACTTCAAGTGGTAGAAATCAGGATGAAAACACACTTTAAGGAAAAATCCTGGAAAAATGCTAAGTGCACCTTAATATGTCAATGATGGAAACAATGATTTTAAAATAATGTTCTGTTACTACAAATTAAATGCATTTCCAAGAATGGCTTGGTAACCATTTGGTACTGGATGTCAGGATTACTAAATGTTGATGCAAAATACAGTAGTTCTTAATTAAGTACTTCAGACCCATCACCGCCAAATTATTAGAGGCAATCCACTTATCTACTGCTGGATAAGAAGCTCTACATTTTCTTGTATGGATTGCAGGAGGGCAGCTGCACATCTTAAATAAGAATGCTGTCTTTACATTTTTGTTGCCATTACTCTCATATAGTACTCAAAGTTCTCAGTCTCTAACCTAGAGCTGGGAAAAATAAAATGTCAAAATGTGATAATGAAAATCTGGGATTTGCAGCCCTGTGAAACATAAGTGCACTTCAGATCCTCCTATTATTTATTGAAAGAGTAGCTTGAAGTAGAAATACCCTGGAAATCCATAATGGACTGGTTCATGCACCGGTGAACCACCCAGATGAACAGCAGGTGAAAGAACACATCTGTTAAACTAAGGCAATGAGTATAAGAGGCCTTTGTTACAAAAACATCAATAATAATGAAAAAGCTGATTTTTGGAGTATGTCCATGTGCACAAGAAAGTACAGTAAGTGAAAATCAGACTTAGAAAATGCAGTCAATACTCACATGTATCTATCTTACCATCTTCTCTGCATTCCACAAGATGGATCTATCATATTTTGAAATTCTCTCAAGGTAAAAAGTAACCACGACATCTTTAAATGAAAAATAGCATTTTTGCATAATGCAGAGTCACAATACCATCAGCAGTGTATGGCACACTGGAAGTGTCAAATGTCACTGGAATATTGGCAAAATGAGCCTTTTCATGAAAGTTCTATGGGGCCTGAGCACTCTGTGGCCAGAAATGTCCCATCTCATAGTTTTGACAGGGTAAACAGAAACATTAGAGAATGACCTGTGTAGTTTTGCTCTCAGTAGATAAATACTGACCCCTTCATAACTTTTTATTCAATAAGCTCTTTGGCTGAGAAAGGCTCTGGATGTCTCTTGGCCCAGGAGAGTAACCACAATAATGCCCTGGACTCTAGAAATATGTCTTTAAAAGACTGATTAGATCCAATCCAGGGCAAACACTGGACAAAAATGTAAAGAAAGTAACAAAATAGCTCAGGAAGTTTCTGAAGGGTTAGGAAGCCAGAAATATTTGGCCCTACAAACTACAGCAGCATAAGGTGCTAGTTTAGGTGAGACCGTCATGGGGTTTTTCTTAATGTCTTTTATTTTTGAGGGAGTACTTTTATGTATATTTAAACAAATAGATTTAAAGAAGATTCTCTAAAGCTTTTCCAACAATCATAGTAATATAATATCATGGGGTTTATTTTTACAGGCATCTTTGAAAAGATGTTCTGGTACCTACTTATCTTTGTTCTTTATAAAAAGCAATATCCTAAAACCCCAATTTTCTTATGCATTCCCTTATGTGTCAGTTATCTAAATTTAAATACCTTCAGATTTTGCATATACATTTGCCATTCCCATATAGTAGGTTTTAAAAATAAATTCTCAATTTAATACAAGTATTTTTATGTATTCAACAAGAAATGTTTAAATTTCTCAGGGGAGAGTATCTATTACCACAGGATGATGTGATGTGGTTTAAACTTTAAATAAATGCTTATTTCCTGTAAGCATAAAAAATATCCTTTAAATGGAAATCTGTATTTTATAGAGCAGTAATATATGCCATTCCTTTCAATTTTCACACAGAATTACATACCGTAAGCAGTATATTCACTGTGTGTAAAAGATCTAGGTATTCTTCTGTTTCACATTAAAAATAATCAAAAACTGAATTGGTTCAAGGCTAAGAAACATAGAAGGCATTGAAAATACTAATTAGAGCTCTTAACCAAAAGATAGCGATAAACAACAACAACAAAAAAACCTGGCAGATGCAAAGTGTTGGATTTTGTAGCAATTATTATTTAGAATAGAGGGATGAACTTATCAAAGTGGATCACTTTACCCTTTTAAAGTAGTGCTATATGGTTTCTAGACACAAAAATAATCGTTCAGCAATATAGCCTAACTAAATCCATTTGCTATAGTATTTCTATACTCCTGTCCATCTTTCTGTCTCTGTTACATCATTATTGAATGCTGGTTGCATTATTTGAAATAATGGATTGCTATAATGCTATTCTGCACCAGTTTGATGGATTTAGTTTTCATTTTAGTCTCAAAAATATGTTGGCTATAAATACATCTCTGCTCTCCTGTGAGGCTCACTCTGTAACTGGTAAATTTTCTAGAGAAATCAGTCATGCATATTTTAAGAGAACACAATAAATCCTTTGAAGCAGAATAACCTTTTGGCTGCATTCCTTTAAATAAACCTTTTCATTATAGGGACAAATTTTACAAGCCTTATCAGTGAAACGTATTTAGTTCTCAAAGTCATCTTTTTCCAGTGCCGTGATCAGATACTTGGTTGCATTTTGTATGTCATCTTACTGGTCACCTGCCTTTTCCCATTTTGCTTTTTCCAAAACAGTCATGGGTTGGGATTTAAGGGGGCAGCTCTGCTTCAGAAGCAGCTAACCATGTGTCAAAGTGCTCTCACTGAATCAAGGCCATCCTGTTGAATTTATAATTTTACAGTGATTTCAGGGACTGCAGTCTTAAGATCTCATAATCAAAAAGACAGCAAAACCCAGTCCTGTGCTTGAAACTGATAGTCACACTAGGGCTGCCCTTACTTGGGTTGAAGTTTCACCTTGTAAATGTGCCAGAAAAGCAAAGAAAGAATGTGGCTAGAAGTTACAGCCATCTTATTAAGAATTGCGTTCTCAATAATGGCAGAATGATCAAAAATTAATGCCCATCAAGTAAATATTGCTCTTTCCCATTCCTGGATACCTTAGTTAGACATGGATAAAATTAGCAGAGTATTGAATTCAGTAGACCTTGGTTAACAGGGAGAGACAATGTGGTCAGGCTAAACAGGTCTTTCCGTCAGAGCTCTTCAGCGTTCTCCCTAAGAACATCCATTGAGCAGCATGATGTGTCAAGGAGCTGGGCTAGCTCCCTTCGGTGTTTGTTTTTCTCTCTTGTCTGACAACTTCATCACAATCCATCTTTGTTAGCTGATTGCACTGACTTGAACACGGGTGAGTGTGTATCAGCCTTCATTAGGTCAAATCAAAGACAAGTGTACATCTCTGCCTTGCCTGTAGAAACAGATTTATACTTTGAGAAGGATGGGGGGAAGGTCACTTGGTATTTGGCTTGAAATTTGATCCTGTTAAAGGATGAAATTAATAACATCCAGAAGTAGAACATATGGCATCCATATATATGGCACTGTATCTGCTTGATGATGTCACGCTACCTCTTAAGGTTTGGGAAATGCACTTTGTAAAGTGTTTAGCTATGTTGTGGTAGCTACCTTTCAGACCTGACTGAGACAGAGCAGGCTTAATTTGGTCTGAACATTTATTATTCCTGGTATTTGCAGGCCACATAAAACCTCATGGTTTTCATTATCTTTGCGTTTCACACACAGCCTAATTTCATTTATTCTTATTTTATGCCCCTGCCAGACCACCGCTCTTGATAAGGAGAGGCAGGTTTTCCGACGAAGACGCAACCAGGATGTGAGGGGACGTTATAAGGCTCAGCAAGCTCCACCCGAACTCAACTCCGAATCGGAAGACTATTCACCAAGTTCCTCCGAGACTGTTCGCTCACCTAACTCACCCTTTTAATAAAACACTTTTTCTCAAAAGCCTTGGCTTTAACCCTTTGAGACCCTGAAACTGCTTCAGGCCTGTGTGGAGTGAATACAGCTGATCTATCCAGCAATAAAAGCTGGGATGGTGAAACACAAAAGGGTGCTCACAGAATCTTCGTAAGAATAGTTTCCTGATTGATTGAAATACTTGTTCTCTGTTTAGATTGCAACTTGCTGCTAATAAGATCCTCAAAGGGTTAAGGCTATTTTGCTTTTTTATTTGAAGATAGAAGCAGTGAATGTTTTCATCAGTGGAGCTAGGAACTGCAGTATGTAATTTTAGCACATGTTAACCCTCTGAGTAAATGATCACCTTAAATCCTGACAACCCATATTAGGGTTTTATTCTGGCTTTTTTGCTTTTATACGCACATATCTTTTATAGTATCCTGAAGTTCCTTGCCTGTTTCTGGCCAAAAATATATCAAATGTACTATTGCTTAGGAATTATAAATATAGGCTTAAAAATGAAAATAAAATTAAACTAATGGTATCTTCTGCAGCAGCTCATTCCAAACCTGCATTGTATTTCCACACGGAGTGACTGTTATTGGAGGATATGATGCAGGGCTAAATGGGAAATTCAGTTTAGGTCATTGTCATGGTTTACAGAAGATGACATGATGATGGCCACAAAAGATTGTTTCCATATAGTTTGCTGCTAATGATAATGTCGAGTTTTGAGAAATTGCTTGAGGACACGTTCTGCCATGTAATAGTATGTAATGATCTAGTGGAGAAGTTCCTGGTTCCTTTGCATCACATTCAGGAATGCACAGGCATCCTCTCAGCATGACCTGGTTATTCTGGCAGAGCCATTGAAAAAGATTAACACTGATGAGCATTACCCTTTAAATAGCTAAAGTACTTCTAAATTGAGGAAAATACAAGTCATTTAATATATATGTAAAGTCTAAATAGAATTAGAGAAGTTTTGTCTTTAGAATGGAGAAACTAAAAATTATTCACCAGTTTTATTTGTAATATTTAATAAAATGGGCATTTACACAGAGTATATATATATTGCTGGTTTGTTAAAACCTCAAAACAACATTATAGATTTTATTTGACCATTATCATGAAGTTGGCTTCCACAGAAATATTACAGTGTGTAGACTTTTGCTTCAGATGTGATAATTTAAAAAAAAAATGACTCAGAATTTCACTTGAATGAAAGAAACAACTTTCAAAATCATGTTCTAAAATAAAAAAAAATTGTGAAATTTATAGTTTCTCTTATTGCTCATATAAAATGGAAGTTTTCTCCAGTTTTCTCCTCTAAAGTTAAAGTTTTCTCACAGTGTTTTTTTAAAAGTCATATGTGGTTTCCTCTCTCTCTCATTCTCTCACTCTTTCTCTCACTCTTTCTCTCTCTCTCTCTCTCTCTCTCTCCCAACCTTGCCCTTTATCTTGTCTTTATTCTTTCTTCCTTCCTTCTTCTTTCCTGTTATGCAGCCAGAAGTATCAGTATACTACCCAAAATGACATGCAGATATTCTCAGCTTTCTGGGAAGTATAAATAAATTTTTCAGGAACAGGGCAAGTTGCCCACAGTATCGTTCCCATTCTGAGTGGTGTTTGTTCACAGAACTGTCCGTATGAGCAGTTGTGGCAGCCAATGTATACCTGCAGCTGGTGGGGGCTAGTGTAAAGCTCTTTGCACTTCTGGGTGGAAGTATCAATTGAACTGTATTTCAAGAAACATTGGAATTCTGTTTCTCCATGCTATGGAGTGCATCTTTCATTGCCTCAGACGTGAAAATTTATATATTGAAAGCTCTGAAGACTTTAAACACAGGAATTTAATCTTGTGGATTTTTACACAAGTGGTGTAGGTATTCCATTAATTTTTTTTTTTAATCCACCTGATATTGATGATCTAGAAGTGAGATATTTAGTAGAAACTAATTCTCCAGACTTCCTGGGTAATAGAGAGAGATAAGCATTGCAGCTTTGATTCATCTCACCTGACATGGGCACACATTTTAGGCAGGACTTATGTTTTGATTAACCTATTGGTCTCATTCCATTGACCGTAGAAGAAAGTGCTGGTAGAAGCTTACATCAGACATCAACTTCAGATTATGAGTTTACTAGAAAGTCATCTAAGCCATCAGGAGACTGATCTGTAAATACATGTCCATGGGCACATGGCCTGTGTAAGGCCTCAGTTACTCTGTCTGGAACCTGAGTAACAACATTTTAAAGCAAGTGAAGCAAATAAGAGAACTTCATTGGGGCAGGAGATGAAGGCACAAAGGAACTATCATAAAAAAATTCTCAGATTTTAGGTTTTGGAAAAGGGTTTATCTGTGTGTCAGATCCTTCACTATAACCATCCAATCCTCAACTCATTGTGGAGAGAAGATGATCAGTAGATAGGGAGCAACCACTGTCATCTTAATGGTTGTACTTTCATAACTTTTGGATGGGACAAGGATTTTTTTTATAGGATCAAAACCTCAGTCACGATAAAGCCTTCCTTGCCACTTACCTATCCTAATTTACAGTAGGTCAGAATCTGGCGCAAGTTTGACCAGCACTGACCTTCCCACATTTTGTCATAGCCTTCCCTTTAGAAGAGATACAGCTCAGCCATGTAAATGTAAGACATACATGTGGTAATAAAAAAATGTCCATTAATACCACATGCTCCTTGACTATTGTGAAAATTTGGCAGTCTTAAACCAAAGGCCAATGTTCATTCTTCATAATTAGAGAGGGAAGTCAGAATAAAAAAAAAATGTTTCACCTTATGCATGGGAAATATTATTCAAAAACCCATCTGGGATTTTCCATTCACATTTTCTTTGCCTTGGAATACAGGGTTATCATTAAAATAAGATGTTGGGCTCCTTCATCTTAGACCATCTTGCACTACTTAAAATGTAGGTAAAAATAATCTTAGATCCTGAAAATCCTACTCATCCCCAACATCTTATGTTTCTGATTGTTGGTTCATGTTTTATGAACATAACTATAAAAATATTTCTTTAAGTTATTTTTAGGTTTGTGAGAGACTGGGTTTCAAATTGCTATTTATGTTTCAAGGAAAGGTATCTGAATATTTGAACTGCTTCAGAAGAGTTTCCAATGATGATTTTAAATATATCCATATACCCTTAGATATATATTTTAATATATCCATATATATGTATATATATTTATGGTTTCATGGAAGTTATAATGGTTTAGGCTTGTTTGGCAGTGACTGCCATTTTTTTTAGTCTAACCTCTGAATTCTTGGGGGTAAGTGAAGACAGAATAAGTGGCCCAATAAATATTTCAAACACCAATGAAAAAAAGAAATCAAGCATAATAGACTATTTCTAATGTGAAAATCTAGGAGAGCACACCATGGTCATTTTACTGTAATACAGACCAGTCCTTCCGACTTCTTTCTTCATTTCCCTTTTGAATCATTGGCTGGTATTGCTGCTAAATGTGACAACAATTGTTTTAGGAAGCAGAGATGGATGGCAGTTGTGGTAGGCACCATCTATCACCAAGGAGATGGAGATGAGCGCTTCCGAAGGGTGACTCAGGTCATCGAATGTTTGGTCTCTGGAGATGCCTGACAACCTGATCTTAGTATTAGCAGGAAAGTAGAACAGGGTCACTTCCAGCTTAATTCCTCTCAATTAAATATAACCAGGGATAACGTGGACTCTAACCTAAGTGGGATATTCTAGTGAGCTTACATGCAGTAAGCAAACTTTAATGTGAAAATGTAGTACTGGATAGTGCAGGACTAGCTAAAAGGTAGTGAGCTGGGAATTGTCTCATATAGATGTATCTGTCTAAGAGTTAAGTATCTAATATGGGACAGTAATCTAAGCTTCCCATATAGGTGCTAGAGACTGGTTTCTCTAACAGATAATTAAAATTCTAGGATGGATTAATCACTCATGAGATGAGGTGCCTAGCCCAAATATATTTAGAACATGATTTATTAAGTCATGACATATAAATTAGTATTTCGGTGAGTTATAATTTTCACAGCATTAATGTACAAAAAATCCAGAATACATGGTTCTACTCAGAGGGTTAACAGAAAAGCACTAGGCATGCTGATTACATTGGTGTATCCAAACTGCTTTGCTTTTTTAGCCAGTGTTTGCTGATTTTTTCAGAAAATTCTTGAAAATAATTCAAGTTTGAAATAATTTAAGTGTTGTTGTTTAAGGAATTTCTATAACCAAATTAATCTTATTTTTAGCTCAAGTTATCACAGGAATAATATGTATCATTGATGCAGTGTAAGTGTATAGTTACCAATTTTATTAATTCCACAAGTGATTCCAGAAATCTCTCTTTTTTTAAGTACTTATTATAGAGCTTACAATGGTGGCATAGGTGACTGAGACTGTCTTTCTTATTGGTAAACAAACAATATTGTAATTTCAAGAAAGTCCTAAGAATCAGCTTTTCAGTTTGGTAGTGTACTAGTTAGGGGAAAGCTATCTCATTACATGCATTGTGTAAATCATCTTTGTAGATGAAGATTGTTCATATTAATGAACACATTCTTTTTTCCTTGACATTGTAGCAGAAACTGTTTACTTGTTAATGAACAACCAATACATTAATTTGCTTCAGACTGTTAGAGGGGAAAGTGAGATTCCAGTCATTGACAATGTTATTGCTTTACAGTAGCCCTCATCTAATTTAAATGTGGTGCATACTACAATAAGCAAAGCCAAACCTGTGAATAAACTCCTGAAAAAGCCTGGTGGGTCTTTATTCAGTTGGGTGCTCGCATACAGTAGCATGTGACAGCAGGAAGGCTTTCAAGAATTGTTGAAATGAAAGCGATATATCCACAAATAAGAGCTAAATTGCAATCCTTTCCCTATGGGGCATATATGTTTGAAAAGAAAAAATAAAGAAAAGAAAAGAAAAATTGGCTCAGAGGTTTGCAGTGGTACTATATTACCACAGGGCAAGTACATTAA